AATCATCTAGATTTTGCGCTAGATAAAATTTGTTATAACTCAAATAATAATTTATATAATTAATAATATAAGGAAAATTTTGTAACTGGGATATTTTTATTTTAAAAGGAATTTTTATAATTAAATTTGGTCTTATCAGAAAGACTTGGACCTGAATTAGTTCCTTTTTGTAATTTTACACATTTTTTGATGATAGTAAATTTTTTACATCAAATTTTTAGAGCGGTTTTAATTTATTTCAAAAATTTTAAATTATTTATATTGGTATTAAAAATATTAAAAAATTAAGCCAATTTTTTTTTTATTTACAATTTGTAATTCTTGACAGTCAAATAATTACTAATATTAATTAAATAAATATAAAAAATATTTAAACATTTTCAAGCATATTTCAACTATCAATGTATGGATTATAGATCTAAATATTAAAAAATAAAATTTTGCATAGAAAATTAAGCAATAAAATTTACATTTAAATACGTTCCATTAAAAATGATTAAATTAAAAAAAAAATTTATTCTAATTTAAAGTTTACTATTAAATTTTAAGCTTTTACCGGTCTCTGTGCTAATTTATAGTTCTAGTTAAATTTAAGGCTTGTATATTTTACATTTTACGCCGTCTGTTAAATTTTAAGTTCTATTTTACGCATAATATACTACTATGTATTACTTTTCTCAGTTACCGTCAATAAAATTTTGAAAATTCTAGATGTTATAAAAAATTTGAGCGGATCAAAATAAAAAATTCTCAATACTGAAATGAATTTTCTCAATTGTGAGTTATTACAACAAAAATAATCTATGTCATAAATGAATTAAGTAGAATAGCCAGATTAATATTCCTGTTTTTCTTTTGGCTAACAGTTCTAAAAGTCGAGATGTAAGCAATCTAACTAACTAACTGATTATTATTTGTATCAACACATCGCGTGATCTTGTAACTTTGAATAAAATTTAGTGGGCCAAGAGGGTGGATCGAGCGCTACTTATCCAACAACATGTCGTACGTCGTATGATGAACGACCGAGTTCTGAATAAATTTGCCCAACTATGTCACACTTGGATTGATAACCGAATAAATTTATTCGAAAATAGTTTCGCATACTTTTGCAGCCAAACAACAAACAGATAAATATATATATATACATAAATATATAAATTAATATCCAGTCATCCATTATTTCTCCTCCAGTTGAATATTTTTGCATGACTAATTTGTTGTTTTGCTTGGAAAAAAAAATATTACACTAAAGAATTTTTGGCTGCTAAAAAATTTCACACGGTCAATTGGACTTTATTATTAAAATTTGCGAATTCTGTCTAAACCACAAGATATAAAAAAAATTTGTAAAGACTTTTTTAACAGAAAATTTTATTTTCTACAAAAATTACCTCTTGTAATTTTTTTCTATCTTCAATATTTAATAGAATTTAAGTTTCAAAATTTCAGCCGAAATTGAAGTAGATTTTTAAAATAAAGAAAATTTATTTTTAATAAAATAATATTATAACTAATAATGTATAACTTAATTAATTGATTAAAAACAAAATTCAATAATAAATTTAAAACTATTTAGAACTAATTTTGTTAAAAAAATTACCTTGTAAAGAAAAAAATTCTCAAATATTTATCAAACAATTTCAAAGATAATAAAATTTATATTATCAATGTCCAAATTTTAAGTAACTACTTAGAAATATCACTTTCCAAATTAATCAGAATTTTTAAACCAGATAAAATTCTAATTGAAGAAAACAATATTTAGAACTAATTTGTGACTAATTTACTGACGACCTACCCGAATACATTACACAAAAGACTGATCAATATCGTAATTATTGAATCTACATCATGATAATGCTATGATACAAACAATAATTCTAAAACGGCTGCAACAGTAAAACTGTTTCATTAAACGAACTCGAACGAAAAAGAGTAATATTGAAGCTATTACTACTTCTGAGGAGTGAAATTTGAAGCTTAATAAAAGGACTTTACGATACAACTTACCGAATTTTGATAACTGGTTTAGATCAGTAATTATACCAAGTTGTAGTAAAAAAATCAATTTTTACGATTTTCAAGATATCAAAATCCTGCCACTTCCAAATTACTCCCCCGATTAAGCTCATCTTCGAACTTAACCTTGGTCTTTATCGATAGATAAAGCATATTGAGTTTGAAAAGAATCAGTTATAAATTGAAAACGCTACCTAGTGAGAATCAAAAATTTTTTGTCCAGAAAAAAATTTCGTGGCTCAAGAATCGTTTGAAATAAATTTTGGTTTTTTGACAAAAGAATATCAATATCTATCATGATAATAAAATGTTGACATTAATTTATAAATTAACCAACGAATAGGTTCATTTGAATTAAATAAAAAATACTTTGATTAATTCGATCAATTCTTGAGACAAGAAAATATATTCTTGATAATTTTCAATTTTTTTTTCTCAGTATATCGTGCTAACAAGCCGCGTTATATCGTATCAATATATATAAATCCATCCATATATAAACTTTTGAACGAACTACATTTGACAAACTGAGTCAAAAAATGACTAAATTTTTTAAAAGTTGCGCCACACGGAAAAAAGAAAACTAGAAAAATTACAGTTTTAAATTGTAATTATTACAGATTTTATAAGAATTACAATGTAATATTTACATTGCAAGCTCTGAATAATAAATTAAAAAATTGAATTTAGAAAAATGTTATTTCAAACTGTAATTTTTCTCGTTTTGATTACAACGGGACCGATTTTATATTTTATACTGTAATTTTTCGAGTTTTCTTTTTTCCGTGCATGAGGACGGCTGCAATAGTTAGATTTTTATAAAATCTACTAAAAATTCCTGAAAAATCGTGACCACCCGAGGGAACATAATTTTTTAGTTTCTTATTATATTATACTGGTATTTTTTATTTTTTATTTTTTATTTTTTTTCAACAAAATTGTTGAAGTTCTGTGTAACTATCGTCACAAACCGACACGAGTGGGCGACGAGAAGAGCACGCGCAAGTATATGGAACGTTGCTTCTAAATTTAAATCCCAGTAAGTTCTGGAAATAGATGTTATGAGTGCGAGGACAGGACCGCGAGATACCTGACTATATTGTCCTGCTAAACAATAAATCATTCATTCACTATTTTTTCATTTAAAAAATATTAAAACGTTTAGAAAAATGACAGAAATCATAATCATAATTTAATATTTTAAAAAATTAAATTTTTTTTCAGCCAAAAAATTAAATTTTAAAATTGAGGATTAAAAATGAAAAAATTAATAAGTATTAAAAAAACATTTAGCTGTTGTACAAAAAAAATAATCAAATCAGAAACTAAAATAACGAAGCCCGCCTTCTTGTTCTTTTTCTTGACTCTTGGAAGTATTATCCACACTTTATATTTTTAGCTACAACAGCGACGTGACTGGTATTATATAGTACACCGTTCAGCTGATATGTGTACATCGTATGGATAAGAAATAAAAAATAATAAAAGCCGCAATTGATGGCCAAAGAGAGCGGGGGCAGGCGGCTAAATACTTTTTCAAATTTATATATATTATATTGTTGTTATTTTTATTATTATTGTTAAGAACAGATGTGTAGCGTAAGTTGCAGAAGACTACTGTGAGATAAAGTGAGACATGATCATCCAAATGGTTAGCGCCGTCTTCGTAATCTGAGCTTTCCGAACCCCCGACCATATATGTCCGCCTCACTCGCTCTCTCTCCTTTCTACTCGCTCCTACTCGCTTGCACTATCTTTGTCTGATGTTTTCTTCTAGTAGTACGATATTTCACTAATTGTGAGGATTTTAAGCAATTTACTGCAAAATATTATTAAAACATAAACGATTGTTGAAATAGAAAATTAGCGACTTCTTAAGTTTTCAAAAATTACATTTCTTAAAATTCAACATTAGGCAAGTTTATTTTTTTTATCTAATTGTACAATTATGATCTTTTGATTTATAAAACTTCAAATTTTAAAGTTTGAAAAATTTTTTTTTAAATATGAAAGAAATTTTTCAATTGACTAATTTTAAAATAATTTATAGAATATTGATGATTTATTGTGATATGTAATTTTAAATTTAATTCAATAAAAAAAAATTTTTTTTTTTATAATATAATGAGCGATTAACTCTGCAAAATTACACAGAAAAAATAAAAATTGAAAAATTATAATTTAAAGGACAATTTGTAAAAGCTGGGTAAATTCTGTAAGAATTACATTTAAAAACTGTACAATTATGTCTAAAATTGTAAAAAAAAATTTTTTAGATTTTATTTTATGAAAATGTGATTTAAAATTGTAATTTTTCTAGTTTTTTGTTTAGAGTTTCTTTTGTTATTACAGAAACTATAATTTTTCAATTTTTTTTCCGTGTACTACTTTCAAGTAAAGATAAAAAAAAAAGTTACCTCAAATTGGACAGTTGATGAATCTTCATTAATTTTTAATATAATCGGAGCTTTACTTATTTCACCAACTATTAATTTATCTTCTAAATATAACTTTCACTGTGTAATTCTAGAAATATAAATAAAAATTAATATTTTGTAGTTAATAAATTTGTCTATTATAATTGTAATAAATAACATGAAAATAATATCAAAATTTTTTATTTCACACAATTCAAAGAAAAATTTGCTTTTTATTTAATAATTAAACTGACAGTGTTATATTAAATAATATAGTTTAAAGATATTTTTCAACTAAAACTATTAACAAATGAGTAATTTTAAGTCATTTATTTACTTCATGCATTTTTAGAGTAAGTGAAGTAATAAATTAAAAGTGAAGTAATTATATATCTTAATAATTAAGAGCAAAATAGATTATAATAAATTAAGAAACTTTTAAAAATAAAAAACAATACAACTTACATTTACCAAAATATCTTTTTCTATTAAATGAAAATATATTTACTGAATAATTATTCATTTTTTCTAATCAAGAAATTGTTGACCGACTGAGTGCAATCACTCTAGTAACATTGACAGATTATAATTACTCAAAAAGTAGAACATATCGTGAATAAAAGTATTTGGCAATCTCCACTTGAAAATATCAAACAGCACTTGGTCTGTGTGTTCAAGTATCATCTTCCGCTGCAGAGCCTTTATAACGTGAAACGCAAGAATTTTACCGTAGAGAGGAAATTTTTTAATCCACCCTTTTACTTGATCAACAGAAACTTCGACGTGCGTGAAGCGGAGAGCCAAAGTGTGCTGAGAACTCCTAAGTATCGTGAAGCAGGACCAGTTAGTGGACAATTCTTTGGTGTCCTTCATCAGTTGGATTTCTTCAGAACATAAATCTCGCAAATTGTCAAATGTTTCATCTTCAACAGCTTCTCTGTTTTCTTCACAGACATAAAAACCAGCGACAATCAATTTGACAATATGACGATTCATTAAATTATTATAGCCATTCGGTATAACATCTAACGGCAGTTTATTATAAATATTTTTAGTATTTATATCAATATTTGTATTTAGAATCAACTGTAAGCAGCCTGAGGGGGCGTTTCTAGCAGCAAAAAATACACAAGTTTCATTACTCTCGTTAACAGCATGGATGTCAATGTATGGATGATTCAACAAAAACTTTATTAAATCCATCGAATTGTACAAAATACAAGCAGCCATCAAAGGCGTGCATGTCCAGGATGATCTCTTACCAGACACCGCTAAGTTAACATCAGCGCCATGACTAATTAGGAATTTCATCATGATCAAATTAGATTTATCGACAGCACAACCGAAAGGTGACTTGTTAAAGGTACAAGATTTACGGTCATTGATTTGAGCACCGCGACTGATTAACAATTCCACCATCTCATATCTGTTCCAACTGACGGCTATTGTTAATAGCGATTGGTGATCCTCTCCTAGATCATTGATATCAACACCAGTATCTAATAATTTCTGGACAGCCTTTAACTTATTACACATGACAGCAAATTGCAATACTGAATATCCGTATCCTGTCATCGCTTGGAGATTGCAATTCAAAGCTAACAAGTAATCTATCATTGCTTGATCATTCAGGCCTATTGCAACATGAATTATTGACATTGTAACTGTATCACTGAATTGTTGATCATCTATTACGAACGAATTGAAGTCGTTAAAGTCATATTGCCAAAAAAGGTAATTATATTCCACTCCAATTTTCAGTATGACATCCTTCGACAGTCTGCCTGCTTTTATTTCTTCACAAACCTCGTCGTAATTTTTTTCACCCAGAATTTTGGACTTTTTAAATCTTTTATAATTATCAATTTTTTCTGTTTCTTCCATTTTAATTGGAATATTGATTAACACAACTCAAAGAAGTTAAGATTCGCGCACAAAAAATTATTAGTTTTTATGAGTAAGGATTAAAAAAAAAAAATTATTATTTCACAAATGTTTATTATAATTGTTTACTGAATATTTTGCTTCAATTTTAATATGGAGGATAAACATCCAAAATTTCTCTCCCGACGTAAATTCTAAACTTTGTTTTGTTTTTCAGTTCATTTGACGCTTACTAATGGCAGCACGTGGTGCTTTTCGTCCGTCATCTGTCATTTAATGTCGAATAAAGCTGTCACATAATTTATATCTTACAGGTCGACTGGTCGCATGTATGCATATGGAATAATCTCTATTGACTTTTTATTAATAATTAACTTATTTATTTAATAGTATAAAATAAAAAAATTAAAATGATGGATATAAAACAGCAAGTAATTGATAGATTTAACGAATTATTAGGTACTGTCTTGAAAATTTAAATGAAATAGCACAATTTCATAAACAGCTACAGATAACAATTTTTGGAGCTACAATTGGAATTAATTGAAGACTGGAGAATTCGTTTATTATAACTACTCCAAACTAAACAAAAGCTGTGAAGATTCACTTCATTTTTTAATTCCTAGCACACTTATCTTTGAAAATTATGTTCTAAATGTTTTAATGAAGTACGGAATTACCGTTGTATGTTTTCAATACTTATATTTATCAAAAGATAGTTGCACTTTTTTAGTATGAAAGAAATTTTTCAATTCACTCCGTTTAAAAATTTATGGAATTTCAAGAAAATTTTGATAATTTATTGTGATATGTAATTTTAAATCTCTTTAGATTAAAAATTTTTTCAATGGATTCACGTCTTCTTAAGAACCTTCAAAGAATTAAAAAAAATTATGTAAAATTACAAGGAAAAAATAAAAATTGAAAAATGACAGTTTAAAGTACAATTTATAAAAGTTGGGTAAATTCTGTAAGAATTACATTTAAAAATTTTACAATTATAAATAAAATTGTGAAAAAAATTTTTTGGATTTTATTTTATAAAAATGTGATTTGAAATTGTAATTTTTCTAGTTTTTTGTTTGGAGTTTTTTTTTGCTACTACAGAAACTATAATTTTTCAATTTTTCAGTCCGTATACTATTTTCAAGTAAGCATACTTAACTAAGAAAAAACAAGGTCACTTCGAATTGGACAGTTAATGTCCATCGTTAATGAATCGTCATAAACTTTTAATATCATCGGAGCTTTACTTACTTCACCAATTATTAATTTATGTCCTAAATAACTTGCACTCTGTAATTCTAAAAAAATAAATAAAATTATTAATATTTTGTAGTTAATACATTTGTCTATTATAATTACAATAAATAACATGAAAATAATATAAAAATTTTTTATTTCACACAATTCAAAAATATTTGTTTTTCATTTAATAATCAAACTGACAATGTTATATTTAATGTTATGATTTAAAATTATTTTTCAACTAAAACTATTTACAAATAAATGATTTTAAAAGTGATTCATTCACATCATGCATTTTTAATGTAAATGAAGTAACTAATTAAAAGTAAAGTAATCATATATCTTAATAATTAATAGCAAAATAAATTATAATAAATTCGAAAAACTTTAAAAAATAAAAAAAAATTGCAATTTACATTTACCAATATGTCTTTTTTTTTTCAAATAAAAATCTACTTACTAAATAATTATCCATTCATTTTTTCTAATCAAACAATTTTTTACCAACTGAGTGCAATTACTCTAATAACTTTGACAGATTATAATTACTCAAAAAGTAGTACAAATCGTGAATAAAAGTATCTGGTAATATCTTATTGAAAATATCAAATAGCACTTGATCTGTGTGTTTAAGTATCATCTTCCGCTGCAGAGCCTTTTTTACGTGAAACGCAAGAATTTCTCCGTAGAGTGGGAATTTTTCAATCCAGTCTTCTTCTTGATCAACAGAAACTTCAACGTGTTTAAAGCGGAGAGCCAAAAAATGCTGAGACCTCTTAAGAATCATGAAGCAGGACCAGTTGGTGTACAATTCTTTGGTGTCCTTCATCATTCGGATTTCTTCAGAACATTTAGCTCGCAAAATGTCAAATTGTTCGAGTCTAACAGCTTCTCTGTTTTCTTCACAAACATAAAATCCAGCAACAATCAATTTGACAATATGACGTTTTATTAAATAATTACCTTCATTCGATGCAACATCTAACGGTAGTTTTTTATGAATATTTTTAATATTTATATCAATATTGGTGTTTAAAATCAACTGCAAGTTTTTCAATTGGTTGTTTCTAGCAGCAACAAATACACAACTCTCATTAAAGTCGTCAACAGCCTGGATGTCAATGTGTGGATGATTCAACAATAACTCTACTGAATCTATTGTATCTCCGAAAATACAAGCAGCTATCAAAGGTGTGCCTGTCAGGAATAAGGTAATACCAGACATCTTGAAGTTGACATCAGCACCATGACTAATTAGGAGCTCCATCATTTTTACATTAGAATCAGCGACAGCACAACCGAAAGGTGACTCAGTAATGTGACAAACTTTACGGACATTGACTTGAGCTCCGCAACTGATTAACAATTCCACCATTTTCAAATTATTAGATTCTACGGCTGTTACTAATAGCAATTGGAGATCTTCTCCTAGATTATTGATATCAATACCAGTAGCTAATAATTTCCGGACAGTTGTCAACTTGTTACACATGACAGCAAATTGCAACACTGTATGCCCATATCCTGTGGTCGCCTGGAGATTGCAATTCAAAGCTAACAAATGATCTATCATTGCTTGATCATTCAGGGCTATTGAAACATGAATTATTGACATTGCAACTGTACGTGGAAATAGGTAATCACGTATGTCTACCGAATTGAAGTGATGTTGGCTAAAAAGATATCTATATTGCACTCCAATTTTCAGTACGACATCCTTCGACAATCTACCTGCTTTTATTTCTTCACAAACCTCGTCGTAATTCTTTTCACCCAGAATTGGTAACGTTTTAAATCTTTTATAATTATCAATTTTTCCTCTTTCTTCCATTTTAATTGGAATATTGATTGACACAACTCAAAGAAGTTAAAATTCGCGCACAAAAAATTATTAGTTTTTATGAGTAAAGATTAAAACAAAAAAGTTATTATTTCACAAATGTTTATTATAATTGTTTAAATACTGGATATTTTGCTTCAATTCTAATATGGAGGATAAACATGCAAAATTTCTCTCCCGACGTAAATTCTAAACTTTGTTTTTTTTTTTTAGATTATTTGACGCTTACTAGATGGCAGCACAAGGTGCTTTTCGTCTGTTGTCTATTATTATTAATGTCAAATGAGGCTGTCACATAATGTTTATACTTAAATTAAAATGACGAAAATTTATTTTATCTTATTTATCTAATCTCTAAGCCACTATCAGTGAACTCCAGCCCGGAGGACGTGTCAGAAATTTTCTCCAGGCATTGAGAACTCGTCTTCCTAAATTTCATGAGGTTATACATCCTGCTTACTGCTTACTGTAACTCCAAAAGTCGACTGTTGCTTATCGCCGATTAATAACAGCCGCATACTTACAAATATAAATTTAATTGATTCCAATGATTAGAAATAAAAAGAAGAAATAATTATAAAAATTAACAACAAAAAATTTTATCTCTGTAAAATGATAGTTCAGATTATTGTGACAAAATTTTCCAATAAAATACAAAAATTATGTTTATACAAACAAGGCACTATTAAAGCGCCTTCAGAAATCATTATAATTAATTGAAAGAATTTAGAATAAAAAACAGTTCTAATTAATATCGTAAAAACAATCAAAAATTTTATTTCAATGATAATTTTAATTTTACTAGAATTCAAATTTTCGCGCGCTTGACTATAGAGTTTGCATATATTTTCATGCTTATGATATATTCAACCAATCACGTTACGAATAGTTTGATGCCACATACATTTCATCTCTATTTTATATTAGGATACATATTTTTCGTAAAACATAAATTTAACTAAAACTAAAAACACTTTTATCCAATATTTTAAAAGTTGCTACTTCTATCTTCAACGATTTAATATTATATATTCTTATATGAATGTTTAAAATTATTTTAAAAGAAAGCTAAACATAATAAATATAATCTAGATATTAATTTAGTTAACTTTTAATAAAAAATATCCTCAGCGATGTAAATATATATACCTTCAACAAATAACTAGTCGAAAAATGTGTACTTGTTAACTACATCTTTGAGTTCACCATCACTGAAATAGCAGATTACTTCTTTCACGCAAAGATAAGGTAAATTTTTATTTAAAAACCTAAAAATTGGATAAGTGTTAACTTTGTCCAATAATTTTATTCTGACGAGCGCTTGATGAAATAAATTATCAATTATATCCGCAAATTGAGGAAACTTAGAAGCATAATTGTCTCGTGAATTCAAAACTGTGAAAATTTGTGGATTGTTTAGGAAATTAATTCGCCGGTTCAAATTGGCTTTGACAAAACCGTAGTAAGTAATGTAAGGTATCGTGCTGTGAATTATCTTTTTTTTCATCTTCTTCACTTCTTTTTCATACTTTTCTTGATGCTTGAATGGATCATTCAATTTATTGATTGCAAAATCATAATTGCTCTCATCGACAAATAACTCAAGATATTTTAGTTTGATAATGAAATAGCCATAATAATTAACAATCTCATTAAGATTACTTTCTTGAAAGTCATCGATATATTCGCAACCCTCCTCATCATCATCATCATCATCAGTATCAAAACGCGACTCTCGTATTTTTTCATCTAAAGTGTATTGAGAAGCTGAATAACCTTCATTACACGTAATGTGTATGTCGGCTCCATTTCTGATAAGACTTACGATAGATTCAAATTTGCGATATCGAAAAGCGACATGAAGTGCAGTTCGGCCTTTATGATTTCTTAAATTAACATCAACATCATTAACATCATACTTGATGAGCAAATCAATGCAATTATCTGAACTATTACGAGCAGCGAGGTGAATAAGTGGTTCTTTTAATTTGCTATTGTTGAATACATTTATGTCCAATTCATACCTCAAACGATCCCTTGAATTTAATCTTTTGATATACTGAAGAAGAATAATCAGCTTATCTGTTTGGTCAAACATGGCACACCAAAACACAATATGTTTCGCAGCATCTAGATCCAGCCGTAAATCGTTAAGTCCTAAAAAATAAGTGAAAACTTCACAATCTTCATTTTCCGTAGGAAATGCTTAGTAAATGCTTGGAGTAGTTGAATATTTAGCCTTCAAATGTATATCAGCGCCACGTTCAATTAATAATTTAACTATATCTAAATGATTATATGTACAAGCAAGCTGTAAAGTTGTTTTTTCGTATTTAATATTATCGTAGATACTCTTAATGTAAGTCTTATTAACATCAACTCCGCGATCAAGGAGTTCTTTGACAATGTCTAAATGACCGTGAACAATAGCAACATGAATTGGATAATAACGTGGCTTCCACGGTTCAGCCACTCTTTCTACATCAATATTAGCTCCATTGTCAAGAAGGAACTTGAAGATTTCAAAATCACCGACCTTACAAGCTTTATGAATAGCTGTGACACGGTATTCCCCGGATTTGTTATAATAATTCACGTCGATTCCACGATTTAAGAGACTTTTGACAACTTTGAACTGTTTTTTTTTAACAGCCAAATTTAAAAAATTAAAATCATCCATCGATTTTTCAAGATCAATATGAACCCATTTCGTTAACAATTTCTCAGCTAAATCAATACAATCTGAATTGATAAAATCTAACAGCAATTTCAAGTAGATGCTTTTGGTGATATTACTTTCAGATATATGATCGACAAGTAGTTCTAGTACAGGCAAATTTTTCTCCTGCAATGCTACATCAAACACATTTTGCCGCAGTGAATTTTCTCTGGTCATGTCAGCTCCTCTCTCTAATAATTTTTTAACAATTTCAATATTATATTCTGACGTATTAGACGTATTGTAAATCACTGCCCAATGCAATGGCGTATTTTCATTTGTTTCAAAATTATTGTTAATTTGAAAGAAATGTGATTCTAAAAGTTTTTCAGCGAACCAATACTTTCTGTGCTTGTACGCTATACACACTGGTCTATAACCACACAACCAACACGGATCAAAAAGCGACTTTAACTTATTCACAACCTCTTCAAATTTTTTTATATCTTCATTCACAACCGCCAATGTTATATCCTTGACTAGGTTCTCTTCATCAGCTTCATCCATTTTGTGGCTCGATAATCTATAACATATATTTCACATTTTGTACTACTATATGTATATATTAAAATTCATAATTTAATATGCCAAATTGTTGTATAATGCCGATTGGCGTATGAAAATTAAATTAGCCGACATCTTAAAATTTTAATAATTTATTTTATTGAAAAATTCTTTTAAAAAAAATTAAAAGAAAAAATTTCACATGTAAAAAAATTAAAAAATCACACGTGGAATTTTTTAAAAATAATTTTTTAGTCTTAATTTAATTAATAAAAAAAAAAATAAATAATTGTTAAACGTCGGCTAACTTTAGTATCATGATTGGCGTTTGTACTTGAAATAAATAAATAAATATTATTTGATAGAAATTATCGCTTATTTCAAGTAGAAAAATTAATTTGAATTAAAAAACATAAAATACTTACTTAAAATTTATAATCAATAACCTATACAGCGTTGAAGTTTCGAATTTTCTGCAGATTAAGCTTTTGGTGATACTTCACAATTTTATGCGATTCACAAACGTGCAAAAATTAATTGGTAGTCTAAAGAAATTCTACCAAGCTATATTAATTTAATCACCCAAATAATTAGCTTCTTATATTTATTTGATAATATGTATTATGAAAACGGTAAAAAAATAAGACGAACGTTATTGCAGTGAGAGTGATAAAAATGAACAAAGAACTGAAGCACCTCCGTAGATTCTGTCATGACCTCTTCACCTCTTCGGTCTGAAGTCGGCTATAAATGTCGACAGAATCGATTATTGCAATAATCGAACATGTTCAAAAATCAACTGCTTTTTCATAAACTAGAATTTGAATTTACGCGCGCAAGCGCGCGCTTTGACTATAGAGTTTGCATATATTTTCATGCTTATGATATATTCAACCAATCACGTTACGAATAGTTTGATGCCACACAATTCAAAAATATTTGTTTTTTATTCAATAATTAAACTGACAATGTTATGTTTAATGTTATCGTTTATAAATATTTTTCAACTAAAACTATTAACAGTGTCAAGTGAGTTTGAGTGATTTATTTACTTGATGCATTTTCAGAGCAAGTGAAGTAACTGATTAAAAGTAAAGTAATTATATATCTTAATAATTAATAGCATAATAAATTCGAAAAAATTTCAAAAATAAAAAAAAATGCAATTTACATTTACCAAACTATCTTTTTCTTTCAAATAAAAATCTACTTACTAAATAATTATTCATTTATTTCTTCTAATCAAAAATTTTTGACTAACTGAGTGCAATTACTCTAGTAACTTTGACAGATTATAATTACTAAAAAAGTGGTACAAATCGTGAATAAAAGTATCCGGCAATATCTTATAGAAAATATCAAACAACACTTGGTCTGTGCGTTTAAGTATCATCTTCCGCTGCAGAGCCTTTTTTAGGTGAAACGCAAGAATTTTTCCGTAGAGTGGGAATTTTTTAATCCACTCTTCTTCTTGATCAACAGAAACTTCAACGTGTTTGAAGCGGAGAGCCAAAAAATGCTGAGACCTCATAAGAATCGTGAAGCAGGACCAGTTGGTGTATAATTCTTTGGTGTCCTTCATCAATTGGATTTCTTTAGAACATTCAGCCCTCAACTTGTCAAATTTTCTATCTCTAACAGCTTCTCTGTTTTCTTCACAGACATAAAATCCAGCGACAATCAATTTAACAATATGACGATTTATTACATTATTATTGCCATCCCATACAACATCTAACGGCAGTTTATTATAAATATTTTTAGTATTTATATCAATATTTGTATTTAGAATCAACTGTAAGTAGCCTAAGGGGTCGTTTCTAGCCGCAAAGAATACACAAGTTTCATTACTCTCGTGAACAGCCTGGATGTCAATGTATGGATGATTTAACAAGAACTCGATTGAATCCGTTGAATTGTCGAAACTACAAGCAGCTATCAATGGTGTGCATGTCCAGTGTGATTTCATATGAGACACCGCTAAGTTAACATCAGCACCATGACTAATTAGGAGCTTCATCATGTTCACATTAGATTCGAAGACAGCACAACCGAAAGGTGACTTGTTGAAGGTACAAGATTTACGGTCATTGATTTGAGCACCACGACTGATTAACAATTCCACCACTTCATACCTGTTCCAACTGACGGCTATTGCTAATAGCAATTGGTGATCCTCTCCTATATCATTGATATCAACACCAGTATCTAATAATTTTTCGACAGTCGTTAACTTGTTACACATGACAGCCCATTGCAATACTGAATTTCCGTATCCTGTCGTCGCCTGGAGATTGCAATTCAAAGCTAACAAATGATCTATCATTTCTTGATCATTCAGGCCTATCGCAACATGGATTATTGACATTGTAACTGTACCTATGAATGGTTGATTATGCATTTCTAATAAATTGAAGTCATTTTTCAAAAAAAAGTAGTAACATTGCACCCTAATTTGCAGTTCAACATCCTTCGACAATCTACCTGCTTTTACTTCTCCACAAACTTCGTCGTAATTCCTCTTATCCAGAACTTTTAACTTTTTAAATTTTTTATAATTATCAATTTCTCTTCTTTGTTCCATTTTGATTAGAATATTGTTTAATACAATTCAAAGAAGTTAGATTCACGCACAAAAAAATAATAACTATTATTCGTAATGATTAAAAAAAAAGTTATAATTTCATAAAAATTTGTTAGAATTGTGTATTAGAGTATTTTGCTTCAATTCTATCTAATATGGAGGATAAAGATGCGGAATTTCTTTCCCTCCATGAATTCCTAAACTTTATTTTATTTTTCAGTTCATTTGACGCTTACTAGATGGCAACACATGGTGCTCTCCGTCCGTCGTCTGTCATTTAATGTCGAGTGAGGCTATGTCACAATGTTTATATTTTGCATGTCGACAGGTCGCATGTATGCATATGGAATAACCTCTATTCATTTTTTATTAATATAATTAACTTATTTATTTAATAGTATAAAATAAAAAAATTAAAATGATGGACATAAAACAGCAAGTAATTGATAGATTCAATGAATTATTAGGTACTGATTTGAAAAATTTAAATAAAATGGCACAATTTCATGAACAGCTACAGCTGGAGAAACGTCAAATTGAAGAATCAGTAAGTATCATGACAATTAAAATGTTTGTTATATTTTTATTAATTAATTTTTATTATTTATTTTAATCAGCTGACAATGGCATCCACGGAAGCTCCTTCTAAAATAAAAGCAGCTGTTGCCAATGTCGAATTGATAAAGACAGATATTGAGAGTTCCATCGAGATGTCAGAGAAATTGCAGCAGTCGATTACAGAATCATTACAGCGTGACAATAAAACAAAATCCATCGAAGCAATTATAAATAACTTGGAAGAACTTGAGAGAGGCTTATCTTATTTATCATTAATTAAATCTATCGACACCATCAGGTAATTTATTTTTAAATTAATGATACTGAAATTGATAGACATTTGAGAATTTTTAGAATTTTTTTTACTAAATAAATTATACTAAAAAAAATTTATTTAAAAAATTCCATCTTTAGAAACTCTAAAAAATTATGAAAGCCATTTTTTAAAAATAATCATAAAATTAAAATTAGCAGTCACTCGACAATTTTTAATTTTATTAAAAAAAAAATAATTTTTTAAAAATTGCATTTTCAATTTTTTTTAATTTCTACATGTCAATTTTTCTTTACTATAATTTATTTGCTTTAAGATTTTTTAAATTATTAAATATATGTTAAATTAATTTTCATAAAATAATTTTCTAGACTTAGTTTATTTAAAAAAAAATAAATAAAAAAATTATCAAGTGTCATTAAAATTATGGCTGTCAAATCAGCAAATTATTACCGACAATTTATTAATTATTTATTTTTTAGTAATGACATTGAATCAGCAATGTCTTCTGGGAATGATAAAACGATGATTAATTCATTTTCAAATCTCGTTGAAATAAATTGCCAACTAGAATCGTCAAGCTGTCAGAATCTTGTAAATTTTGTCCGTGAAACTCTACACTTTTGGCACAACCATTTGAAAGAAAAATTTTCCAAGTAAGATATCTCTAAAATAAATACTACCTATAAAAATAAACAATAATTTTTTTTTTTTAGAGAGTATATGGATGTTTTAAAAAATCTAAAATGGCCTTTCTGTGGTGACAATCTTTCTACACTGTCATCACCAAATTCTGATGCATTGACTAAGTTTAAAACTCTCACGGAATATTTATTACAGCTACAGTTACCGTATCCTTTAAAAAAAAAAAAAATTTTTACATTATTAAATAGTAAGATTTAAATAATTATCCTTAATTAGTTAAACAGACAAGAAACTGATAAATCATCAATAAAATCAAATTCTCTGGCTGATTTTTTACCTGTAAGCCTGCCAATACATTTGCTAGTACATCCATTGCATCAACGGTTTACATACCATTTTAGTGGTAACAAACAAACTAATCGTCGTGACAAACCTGAGTGGTATTTTACGCAAATACTCTCGTGGATAAAAGACCACGAGTCATGGATTGAAAAAAATGTTCAGCCTGTATTGAATTCCAGTGAATTCAGTTACATAAATGCTAAGGTACATCTCAAAATTTATTAACTCAAAATGAAAATTAAGTTAGCCGACATCTAAAAATTTTTATAATTTTTTTGTTGAAAAAATTATTACAAAAAGATAAAAAAAAAATTTTAATTTGTTAAAAACTTGAAAAACTTTAAATTCAAATTTAATAAATGAAAAAAAATTAAAAACGTTGGCTAACTTTAGTATTATTAACTCAAAAGATTAAATTCTTTAATTTTAACATAAATTACAGGTTGAATTTATGCGAGCACTAGTAAAATTAGCCGTAGAAAAACTTCAAACAGATCTTCCTATCGTGCAATATGACGACGCGCTGTTTGCTCATTTCGTCGACGAAGCTCTTGCTTTTGAACGTGACTTGAGAGAAAATCTTTTCTATCCGCCAAATCAACCTGCAACTGTTTCTGTTTTAACTCAAGCGCAATCTTTTGTCAAGTGGATCAACATGGAAAAGAAATGTAGGCTCCAATTTAGTTATTCGATTATTAAAGATAGCATTTAATAATTATTTTTTTTTTTTATTTTTTAGATGCTACTGAGAAAATGGATGCGATTTTAAGTGCTCCATCAGCATGGGAACGTATTACTGTGGCTAATGTCGAAGACATGAAAGTTACTGAATGTGCAGAAGCGTTTTTAACACTACTGACAACAATGAATGAAAGATATAGTCATTTACCTCAACCCGGACACAGGTAAATTTATTAAATTTTAATTTATAAGATAGTTCATTCGTGTAAATTAAAGATTCATATGTTTAAGAAATTTAATTGATGATTTTTTTTAGATTACAATTTTTGGAGCTACAATTGGAATTAATTGACGACTGGAGAGTTCGTTTATTACAACTACTCCACCAAAGCTGTGAAGATCCACTTCATTCTTTAATTCCTAGCATACTTAACTCTGTAAATTATGTTCTAAATATTTTAATGGAATGGGGAGTTACCGTTGTATGTATTCAATACTTATATTATATTTATCAGATATTAGTAGCACCAAAATTTTTGCTGCAAATTCAAAATAAAAATTCATAATGAATGGTTCAAATTTTTTATATTATAGCAAAAATATTGGTCCTATAAAAAATTTATCAAACAAAAATCTTAATTTTGGAATTACAGTGAAAATATTGATTTTAAGAAAAAATCATAAAAAACATTTTTTTTTACAAAATTAAATTTTGAACAACTTTTGTTTAATAATTTTTTTTTTATAGGCTCAATATTTTTGCTATAATATAAAAAATTTAAACCATTTATCTTAAAATTGTGGCAAAAACTTTGGCCTCAAAAATTAGTTATCAGATTTTGAGAATTAACTAAAAATTATAAAATGTCATCTAGCATTTCTTGCAACTACACTATTTTAAAAAACAATGTGAAGCCGCTGATCAAGCAACAGACTTAGGCTTGGATTTTTTAGAAGATTCTGCTGAAGAAAGCGGTACTGTTTTTGATGATGCAGTTGCTTTGCTGAAGAGATTAGAGAAAGAATTGCTAGAAGAAATAAGTGACTCGGTTGCGCTGGAAGTTAAAGCGCGTAGCAGACCTTACAGGACTGACAAGTAAATTTTTATAATTTTTATTTTTAATATATTTATAGAGAAATAGGTATTAAAATTATTAAATTGTACTTTAACTAGGTGGTTTACCATGCAAAATGATAAAGAAGTCGCATCTTTATCAGTAACTCCAAGCGGTTGCGTAATGTTTGAAGAATTGGCTTCAAGACTTCACGTTATGAATGAAGTTTTGTCTTTACCGCTTTTTAATCAAGCCTGGAGAAATGTAGCTTCGCAACTTGACCAGTATCTCTTTGAAGGGGTTGTTTTAGAGAATCAATTCAACGCTGGTGGATCTATTCAATTGAAGTACGACATAACGCGTAATTTATTTCCACTGTTTGGGCTGTACACCAATAGACCAGAATCTTATTTTCCTCTGTAAGTCACCATTTTTTATTTAATTTATTAAATCAAGTAAATTTAATTATCGTATTAATGAGTAAGTTTAATTTCAGCCTGAGAGAATCGTGTTTGTTATTAAACATGCTTCTTGGATCCGTAATGTTATTGATGGAAGTGTTAGAAGGCGACAACGAGGAGGCAGCAAAAGAAGTACTAGCCGACGTAGGGGTTTTTTCTCTTCCCCCATCCTCAGCTCTACTCGTTCTAAAAGCCAGAACGGACGTAGCGATGCAATAAATATATTTTTAATGATATAATTACCAATAAACGATGATTGTATGATTTATAATGCAAAGTTTTTAATTAATAGAAAGGCATAAGAAAACAAAATTATTGTTCGAGTTTTTAAAACTCTTTTTTATAAAAGTAAATAAAGAATAATATATTAAAAAAAAAAAATAAATTATCATAGTATAGTAATTTAATCATAATCATACTTAAAATAAAAATTAACTTGAATCAAGTAAAAAAATTCTTAAATCAAGTAAAATTTACTCAAACTAAAAAAAAATTTCTTAGTTTAAGAATTTTTCGCCTCAAATTAAGAAGATGAAATTCTTTAAAATTATTTACTTGATTCAAGTTATTTTGTTTTCTGTGCAAATGTAAGTAATAAGAATCATCTTGAAAACTTTTATTCCTTGCACTGAGAGATAAAAATATCTTATGAAAAATATAGGCATTGTTGGGATAAGAAATTCATTTGTTGGAAATTTTCAAAAATTTTATTTCTTAGACGAAAAAATCAAAATTTTTCACACAGTAACTTTCTTGTTGAAAAAAAGTTTTCTAAATTTGAGAAAAAACAATTTTAGATAAAAATTCTCAAGTTGTCTGTATAAAATTGCTTACCGTGAGAACAATTTTGATTTCTTTAGCTAAGAAATAAAAATGTTGAAAATTTCCAACAAATTAATTTCTTGTTACAAAAATGTTTCTTTTTTTCAAAAGAAATTTTTTCTCTCAGCGTGGTCCCTTTTGGGTATTGGTATAGTTGGTGATTGGATTGTGCTAGAAAGTATCTCACAGTAGGCCATTTTGCATACTAATTTCAATAATTTAAAAGCTATTCGTAGGTAATTAAGAAATCATTTTCAGGTAATTGAAGTAAATTAGGATAATGAGGGGTAATTTTTCAAATTTTCAGGTAACGAAGAGCTATTTCAAACGGCCAAAAAATTTTTTTGGCAATGTTTTGTTAAATTTCTTTAACAAATAAATAAATAAATAAATAAATAAAGGCGTTTCTTTACAAATAAATAAATTAAAGTTGACAATTGTTAATTTCTGACTTCTTGTTGAATATAATCTTCCAAAAAGTCAAGATTTTTTTTCATGACGCTTGAGTATGAGATCACTTAAATTTATTTGGGACGTAAAAATAAAGGAAACTCTGAAAATACATCAAATACTGTCCAGCTTTAACAATCTTGAAGATTTTGTTGCTTTCAAAGATCTGAAAAAGATAAGCCATGATATAGAGATCAGAATGATTCATAAAAGTTTGCATGTCTAAAAAATTAACAATGATTAAGCAAACAAACAGATGTATATAGCTACAATCTTCAGAGTCAGCTTAAGTATAATAAGTTTGGTTGAAAATATCACGGGGAGTTTATTTACCTGACCCGCAATATTAACAGCTTATTAAGTATGACTGATAAAAAAAAGCATGCTCATTTTCCACCGTAAATGATATTTTTTTTGTGTATATATCTTTATCAATAATAGACATTAAATAAGATTTTAAAAAATTTAAAATTGATGATTATATTTAAAAAGATATTTTAACACAAAATTAAGCTGATTGCAATGTTGCCATATTATTACTGCAGCAAAAACAAGTAAAGATGAAATAATATGGACGAAAATTTCTTTCAACAAGTAAAAATACGAATTTTACCTAAGTCTGTGTATTGTCATAATATTTCTAAAAATATTGTCATTTCCACTTATACAAGTGCAAGTAAAATAGAATTGTTCACTGGCACTCATAGAGAAGTTCATTTATTTTGCTACACAGAGAGAAAAATATGGAAATCATTCCTATAATTTTAATGAAATATTTTCCTATACCATTTTAGGAGCGATTACTTAAATTATGGGAATTATACCCATAATTTTTGGGAAACGTTACTATAATTATGGGAATGGTTCCTATAATTATAGGAACGATACCTATAATTAAAACTGTAATATCGGCATGATTCCCATAATATATAGGAATGGTTCCCATAATATATAGGAATAGTTTCCATAATATTAAAGGAATAGTTTCCATAATATTATAGGAACCATTCCTATAATATTATAGGAACCATTCCAATTTCCATATCTATTTTGCTTCTACAATTGTATAGTGAGAAAATATCCTTTTTATTGGAGAAATTTTGAAATTGCTACAATATTTTTCAATATTATTTAACACAATAATAACTGAGTTGGAATAAATAATTCAAGATTAAGTTCACACGTGAATAAAAATTATGAAAAAGAAATTTTTTTACTCTAGTGAAAGATCAATTTTTATTTATAAAAAAAAATTTTATTAGCAAAAAATACATAATAATTACTTTATATTTTTAAAGTGATTGCTTCATTATTAAGAAAATAAACTTTTTTCTATTATTATGTGCGTCATTCCCATAATATTATAGGAACCATTCCTATAATATTATAGGAACCATTCCCATAATATAATTGAAGCTATTCCATTATTGTATAGGAACGTTTCCCATAAATTATGGGTATGGTTCCCATAATGAGTATAGCATTAATGCCTATAATGATAATTTTATTATAGGATTCATTCCCATAATTATTGGAAAGATTCCGATAAATTTCTCTCCGTGTACCTTATTCTTTTCTAAAACAGGTGTGAGTACGTTTGAATAGGTTTGACGTCACCAAACATGAATTTTTCAGAAAATTATTAGCCACGTTGGCAAGGATAAGGAGAATCATGACTAAGCAAAAATTTCTCACTTTCATCTAAGTAATATTAAAGTATTTTATAATAATAAAATTAATTTTTCAAATTATCTTGAGAATAACTGGAATTATATTAGATTTAGTTGATGATTTTCTTCATTTAGATAAAATTTTAATAATTTATGAAGTACAAAAATTTTTTATAAATATCTGGATTTAATTATGATGAAAATGGAATTAGTATTTGTCTTCATGTGGGGCTCCAATTTATGGGCATAAAAAATCAAAAAATTAAATTATCAAACTTTTTTTATTTCTTTTTTATTTGTTTTTGTAGTAAACTCCTGAATTTGTAATCTAAAATAATAATCAAATTTTTTATAACAATAAAAATTTATAGTATTTTAACGAAACTCTAGAGAGATTAACTGATGGTGAAATATAATACTATTTTTTTCCTTAGCTATGAAAAACTACAGAAAAAAAAAATTTTTTTTAGAAATTTTTGAAAAATTTATCAATTATGGCATTTGATCAATAATTTTTAGGTGCTTCAATAATTTTGAAGTATTTTTATACTATGATTCATAATATGCAGTGAAAAAAAAGAGTTGATATGCACCTGAAATTTTGAAGATTAAAAAAATTGGGGAATCGACTAATTTTTTTGTTTATTCTATGTTCAATGCATAATATATGATGTAATTAAAAAATATTGAAATATATATTTTACCACCTCCAAATATAATTAAAAAATTCTTCAAAAGTTTATAAAAAATTTTTGTCATAATAAGGTAAAAGCCCCAATAGATGCTCATGTACCAGTATATGATCACTCCATGTACTTGTATATCTATAATTGTGAATATAGATATACAAATACTAGGAGTGATCATGTACCTGGTACATGAGCATCTATTGGGGCTTTTACCTCACTGTGAGAAAATTTTTTTTAATTTATCGAGTTTTTCATGCGCGTTGAAGAAAAAAATAGAATAGTATTCTATCCCTCAAAAATGTCAATAAAAATTAAAATAAATATGTATTTTAAAATTTTTAAACTGTAAAAAAAATTGAAATATATAATTTGATAAAAATAATAAAAAAAAAAAACAGCTGTTAACCGTATTTTTGATTTATTCTGGCCGAAAAATAATGGAGCCCCAATCTTAATAATTACCAAAATTTATTAATAAAATCAATCTATTCTACAAACAAAAAAAAAAAAAAAAAATTGGTTAGAGAAAAATCTAGGGTTAAAAAAGGATAATTCTAAAAATTTTTATTGACACCATACTGTTTGGTGTCAAAGTTGGTGTGATATTTTGACTAAATCATTCAATGGCTTTACGGTGATTCATTTCATCCCATGTCAGAACGGTCTCAACAATTAGTTGTCTCATGTATGCGGTAAGGTTTTTTGGCTTCCGAAAGATTCGAAATTTGTATAACACACAATCTGATCCAAGAGTAATGTTTTTATATCGTTCCAAGCTGCAAAAGAAGCATTAAATACGTAGATATAGTTGAGATTATACAGCGAATAAGGCGTCCATATTGTTTGTTCTCGAATAATCTTGTTTGAAAATGCATTATTATACCTGAAATGGGGAAGGTGAGCACGCGCTACGTAAGAAGGGGAAGGAGAAGAAGTGCTGCAAATCCACGTGCTTTGTCAACAACAACGTATATCGAATATACAATATGAAGTACAGTAACTTTACAAGAACTCTTCAATATTTATCTCTCTCTTACATATTATATTTTGACCAAGAAATTTAATTTTAGGCGCATTTTGCTATCTTAGTCTAAGATTCTTAGGTACAAACTACAAGCATTACCTCAACTCAACCCCCAAATCTGGTATTCATATCTGGTGAGGGCAGCTGTTGGCGTAGCTACCCTTGAGAGCGAGCGAGATAGCAATATAGTTAAGTGATTTCAGGTAGCCAAAAATTGAAAGTGACCAAGTATTATTTCAAAATCAACTATATTTACTGGAGTTGCCAGCGTACATGAGTCCAAAGTAATATACCTTTTAACTCGGTAATAGTCAGTTTAGTAGCATCCTCTGACACAGTCGGTTGAGCACTTGGATTTATTCAGATTTTCTGAACTTCTTTGTACTCATTGTGTTAAAATTATAACAGTTCTAATAAAAGTGATATTGATATTATAAGTGCCAGCATAATGTTTTGTAAAAAGGAGAATTCAAACTTATTATTGACTCTACCAATTACGGACATCACGAAGATTAACCTGGGAGTTGCAAGGTATCTCTTGGAGAGGAAATCAATTTGCGTTGACACGCTCATTGACGATAGGCACTTGCCAGTGAATGAACCAACGCTTCTTCACATCGCAGTTTGGAATGCGGATGAAGAAATGTTCCATTACTTGATGAACAAAGGTGCGAATATCCATAAGAGCTTCGAAACCTACGGAAGCGCTCTTCATGTCGCAATATACAAGGCAACTTTGAACCTGCGGATTATTGATCGGTTAATCCAAGCAGGAGCCCCGTTAAACGCACGAGAGTTCTCAAAGCAATGGACTCCATTACATGTTGCGTGTTATTTCAAAAGAGATGACATAGTCATGCTACTTCTATCACGTGGGGCTGATGTTAATTCGACCACTAGCAGTAAAAGCCAGGTACGATTACCTTCTGGGGATACACCTCTTCACGTGGCCATTGAAGTCAACCAAGGGAAGATTGTAGAGCTTCTGTGGCGGTACAAGGCGGACGTCAACTTAGCTTCGGTGTACCGGGGAACTCCTCTTTCTTATGCTGTTGCAGTTGGAAACTTCGATATCGTGCAGCAGCTAATTAACTACGGCGCGGATGTTGATTACGTTTTCTCCATCCAAGGAAGCGCTGCAAGACGTTCGATGTTGAGTGCAGAAGGAGATATTGCGTTGACTGCATTGCATGTGGCTGTTAATTTTCAGAATATAAGAATGGTGGAAATTCTGTTAATTAATGGAGCAGCCACAAACAAGTCAGTCGGAACGTTTGGAACTCCTCTCTACAGTGCTGTTCAGCGTAATGAAAGTAAAATAGTGCACCATCTCTTGAATGCTGGAGCCGGCGATAATATTCCTCGTTCAGAGACGGTGACGATTCAAAATTTTATTCGTCAAAAACATCCGGGTATCACTTCATTAAACCCGGACATCTCTTCGTTTATTTATTTAACCCGGTTAAAAAAATGTGTTAACCCTATGAATAAGTAAATAATTTTAAGATATTTTTTTAGGTTTATGATTGTTTTAGATATAGAATATTATGAAAATCTTTATGTTAAATGAGTTTAATTTTTTTAATTATTTTAATTGTTATTTATGTTTAATAACAAAAGCTGTTTTATATTTATTGATTAGTGATATTTGTACAGAGTTTTGCGATCTAAATAGTGATCGCATTGGTGATAAAACAAATTCTTTTAATTATTATTGTTAATACTCAGGAATTTAATGTTAAAAAATATACTTATATACATACTTGTGATAAATAGGTCAATATTTCAATAATATTGTTAAAAAAATATAAAGAAGCGGTTCAAATGTTGTAAGACCATTTTTTACATGGTTGTTATAAACAATTTATATTTTATGGATATGACTTTTATAATAAAATAATTTATTATTAAAACTATACAAATAATTTTATTTTTAAATTACCCTAATATTCCTTCAAAATTTTTTTAAATTTAAGTAATTCAAATACATCTGACAATTTTTTTTATTTTTTTAAATTACAGGAAATTTTAATTTATTATTTTTTTTGGTAGATTTTTAATTTTCTGCTTAATAATCCGATAGATGCTTCCTTTTAATTTCAAAGTCATTTTTCTATGAATACAATTTTTAAAAAATTTATTTAAATAAAAAACATCAATGATTTCCAGAAAAAAAAATTTTTTTGATTTTTTATAGAGAAAAAAAAATAGTAAAGTCATTAATTAATTCATAACTCACTTTTATTGTTTGGTCAAAGATATAGAGTATAATTCTTATTAATTAATATTGAACTATAATAATAATATGAACTTCATACAAGACAACAGTACAATTTTTATTTAAATTAAACGATTGCCATCAAAAATTTTCATGTTCATATATTTTATTTACAATATTATAAACATGATCTAATAATCATTATCAGTTGTCAGGTCAAATAATAGTCATAAATTTACTAAATAATTCAAAAATTTACCAAAACTCTTGAGCAAGCAGCGGCCATATTACTTTTAATTATGATACTGAAATTATAGCTGACAACGGTCAATTTTTATAACAAATTAATTACATTAAAAAATTTTTACTAATAATTTTTTTTTTTATTTTTACAAGTGGAATTTTTTGATTAAACATTTTTCATAACAATTTCATTTTTAAAAATTATAAAAGAAATTCTAATGATTGTAATTTTTTAATTTAAAAACTCAATTCAATTCAATTTCAATGACATTAAAGTTAGCAGTCACTTGATAATTTTTTAATTTTATTTAATAATTAAATTTGCTCCGACAAATTATTTCTAAAAAATTGCATTTTTTATTTATTTAATTTTCTAAATGTCAATTTTTTTTCTCATTTTCTTTGACATAATTTAATTATTAAAAAAAATTATAAAATATCTGCTAAATTAATTTTCATTCAATTTCATCATCTAGCGGAATTTCTAGTTACTACGACCTGAACTCAACAGTTAAATAAAATTTCTATATTCCCGACAAAAAAACATATGTATATATAATGCATATTTCCACGTTCCATCGGCACACACAAATTAATCGTAAAAAAATTCCGTTCGAGACAAGACCTATAATAACTTTCTCAAGTAATTTGTTTAAAATATAGTTATTTATATTAAAGAGTGTCTTAATAACAAAGTTTGTAGTCTTGACACCAGGCTACTTACTTTTAATAACAATCTTAGTTTTTAAATTAATATTAATATAATTAAAAATATATATATATGTGCAGCATAGGTTTGAACCATACACAAAATCTCGATCAACAAGACTAATTTTAACCAGTGCTTGTAAATAAGTTATTTTTCAAGTTCACCATGGCTGGATTTACAGAAAGTGCTTTGGTTAAAAAATTGCTGGACTTAAATCCGTCACAGCAGAGTATCCAGACTTTATCGTTGTGGTTGATCCATCATAGAAAACATCATAGTACTATAGTTAAAGTTTGGTACAGAGAAATGTGCAAAGGTACAAATAATTAATAAAAAAAAAAAAAATAACAAAAGTATACTTATATTTTATTGTACATAAATTTAAATTATTTATAAATAAAAAACATTTGTTAATGTTGAAATAATATTTTTAATTATTTTCCTGTTGGTTACTTTGACAAGATACTCTTTTTATTTATTTATTTATTTATTTTATTGTATATTTTCTAGCCAGAGACAATCGTAAGTTGATGTTCATGTATCTGGCAAATGATGTAATACAGAACAGCAAGAAAAAAGGTCCAGAATTTGGTAAAGAGTACGAAGTATTTTTGCCAAAAGCTTTTGAGCACATGAAAGGATTTGATGAAAAAACTCGGGAGAGATTGAATAGACTGCTTCAGATTTGGGAAGAACGGGGTGTTTATGATAAAGCACAAATTTTGGAGTTCAAAACTGCGTTAGATTCTGCTAATGAACCTACCAAGGAACCTGGTACTCCTCCTCCAAGAAAAAAGCCAAAAATTGAGGAAAAAATCAAAGTTAAGGTATTGTACGATTTTTTAAAAATAAATAATAGTTTGTTTTGTATGTAGATTAATTGAGTTAACTAGTTTTTAAATATTATTGTAAGTTATGATTGTTTGATCAATAATCATTCGGTTTATTCTACAGACATCAACACCTAAGGTTGAAAAAAAAGAGAAAAAAGATAAGAAAGAAAAAAAAGAACGGAAAAAATCAGAGACTGAAGTTGAAGTTGATGGTACCAAAGAATTACATGTGACACTGAGTCCTAGAACACCTGCTGGAGATCCGCCAGAAACTGAAGAGCTTATTAAAGCTTTGATGGTAAGATTCAATTTTTATAATTTAATTATAAACGTAGATAAACATTTGTAATTAGATTTAAAAAAAATATACAAAGTTTGTAATTTAAAATACAATTTTATTTTAATAAATAAATAGTATTTATAGAAATGTCTTTGACACCAAAAAATAATGATAAAGTTTTATGTTTATTATAAATAAATTTAAAGAGGCCGTAAAGAGACATATTGAATGTGTTAATAAAAATAAAACATGACCCAGATTTCATTTTTTTTTTTTTTTTTGGACATAGATAACATTTTACAGTTATTTATGACATTGAATTGAAATTTGCGACATAAATTCTGTCATTTATAAAATAGCAAAAAACAAAAATCTGTGGCTAGGTAAATTTAGCCAATTGTTATTGCAGAAACTTATAAAATTGGTCGATTTTAAACTTTGTTAATTGTAAAATTAGCAGTTTCTAAATCTCTAGTAATTCTTGAACGGATCAACATATCAAAAAACAATTTGAGGCATCTAAAAGGACTTACACAAATTTAGTTTTTCTAAAAATTAGAGCAGATTCGACCAACCTATTCAAAAGTTATAAGAAGTTTAAAAACGGCTAATTTTACAATTCACAATTGGCCAATTTTATGTTTTTGCAGTAAAAATTGGCTAAATTCACGTAGGCACAGATTTTTGCTTTTCGTTATTTTATAAATGATTGATTTTATATTTGGTGAAATTCCATTTCGCTAATTTCATTAATATCATTTTTTATTTGCGACTAATTTTACAAATGACATTATCAATTAATTTTCAAATTTATAGTTAATAAACTTTCGAGTTTACAAATGGCTATTTTCCAGTAAACTAATAAATATACTTAAATTAATGACTACGATTGTAGTAATAATATCGATGAACTGTATAATGACTAATATTTTTTTTTAAAGGATTTGGAGAACACAGCATCATCGGACGCAAACGTGAGAGAAAGAATAGCGTCACTACCTCCAGAAGTATCAGAAGTGTCTTTACTAGCAAATTTAGCAGATCGTTCAGCAGCAGACCAATTGAGCATTGCAGTTAATGAAGCCGCTACATTGCTCGCTGACTACAATGGACGTTTGCAAGCTGAAATGGAGGACCGTCGAAGACTATTAACAATGCTCAGGGATTATACTTTAGCACAAAGACAACTGCTACAACAAGCACAAACAACACTCGATGTAATTTATTTTTATTACTTATGATTAAATATTTAAATTATTTTTTACAATAATTTGTTTTTTTACAGGATTACAAAGAAAAGTTAAAAAAGATATGTGTAGTACGGGCTGAAGTAAAATCACACATTTCAAATCTACCAGATTTAACGCAGTTACCAGACGTTACTGGTGGTTTAGCACCGTTACCATCCGCCGGAGATCTTTTTTCACTTCACTAGCATACGCTTATACTAATTATTAAATTGAAAAATAATTTTTACACTTAATTAGTTAGTTATTGAATAGTTATAAAATTAAAAAAACAACAGAAGTATATTAACGACACTTGAAATCGTTGAACAAAATTTTATTTAACGTAAAATCAATCGACTATTTAATTCGTTTTAATTAATCTGTTGATCAATAGATATATAGATTGATGGATTGATTAATTAATTAATTAATTAATTTAACTGAGATGACTCTTGATAAAGGCAGATCACAAACTTCCTCATGACGCTGTGATTTTTTTTCAAACAAATGAAAAAAAAAGTTTTATTGAACAAAGTTTATGATTAAATCAAGTAAAACTAAACTGACAAATAAATAATTATTAAATTGTATCTATGGGAGCTTCCTAAAAATAATATTATTGAATCAAGATTTAAGTAAATAATTTTATGCTAAGTATGAGAGCTTGAAAGAATGTATTTTTAATGACCGCGAATGCTTTTTAATAATAATTATTATTAATTATTTAATTACCTTATCATCATTAATAATGTACACTTAATGATGTTATATTTTTCTCGTCATGAGGTAATTGATTTTGAATAAATTTATTCTATGTTATGTTTAGAAAAATAATTAGTTTGGAATTAAAAATATTCGCTTTAGTTTTTTTTTTTTTTTTTTTTTATTTTAAAAAACTATCGAATATTATTTAAATTTAATTATTGAAATAATTTCTATATATTTTTTTGACTATTAATTAATAGTCTATTAGTTGTAAATATGTACCTTTAGATAATTAAATAAAAATCATTTTTATTATAATTATTTTCAAATGAATATACGCACGACTATTATTATTATATTTTTGAATTCTTTAAATGGTAAATAAAAAATTATAAAATTTACTTATCTAATTTATTTAAGTAATTTAAAATCTAAGATATTTTATTAACTTTTACAAAGTCGTTGATTTTCAATTATTATTTATAAATAACAGAGTAAATAAATCAAAAAAAAAAAAAATATCAGGAAGACATGGTGCTAAATTTTGAATTCAATTAAATGAATTTAAATAAAATTAATGACTCGAGCTGCTTTTAAATGTGCGTATGAAATGGTTAAATTAAAAAAATAAATATATCTAATTTAATTTAATTGTTAATCAACCATTTGCATAACGTCATGATTTATTTGTGGTAAATTTAAAGATGATAAATTAACTACTGTGTTGTTTATTAATTCTCAAGTTTCGTGTGGATGCAGTGGTCGAGTTGGTTTCAAGATGAGTTTTCCAGTGTCGTCGCAGCTCATATTAAAATCACGCAAAACACTACGCGCTCGTTGTGTTATTATACTTGGTGCTATCACACGTCCGTGGACTCCAAGCATGAATAATATTACTGGAAAAGAAAAAAAAAAAATAATAATTTATTTATAAAATTATCATTGATTAATATTTATTTTAAAAAATATTATTCAATAAGGCTATTCAAAAATATTAGCAAATTGTCTAACTCCATTTTAGAGAATCTTCCATTTGTACGAAAATACAATTAGTTCGAAATTTATTATCACTTTAAAAATACCATTTAATATTTAATATAAAGTATAATATTTTGGTTAGCGTTTAAATAATTTAAATAATTGTTTAAACAATTTATAATTGGACTATTACTACGTCAAAATATTAAAAAATCACCCTCTAAAAAATAAGGAATTAGACTAATTGCTAATTAGACCGTAGATATCTCAATTTCATCCTTACTGTTTTATTCATAAAAAAAATTTTTTTTTTTAATTAAAAAAAACTTATCAATTATTAATTAAATTACTTTAAGGTAAAAAGACCCAGTTATTGACACCTGCAATTTTATTATAATTAAAAAAAAACAAATCAACTCTAATAAATATAATTTTCAAGAAAATTTTTTGAGAATATTTTTTTTTTAATAAAAATAAAATTGCAAGTGTCAATAACCAAGTCTTTTACTTTACTTAATATTTATTTTTAAAAAAAAAAAAAAAAATTCATACTTTAAATTTAAGAATTAAAAAATTGAAAAATGTAATGATATTAAATCAGCAGTAATTTGACAATCTTTTTAATTTTATAAAATATTAATTGTAAAAAAAAATTTTTTTTTTTTAATTTTCACTTGTAATTTTTTTTAAATTTCTTAATGTGGAATTTTTTAATTAAAATTTTTTATAACAATTTAGTTGTTATAAATATCTAGAAAAATTTTTTAAATTTAGTATCATAAAATATAATTACCTAATAAAATACTAGCTAATGCAAAAATAGGATGATTATAAAGACTTTGTGTAAATGATACTGCTGATGTATTTGGATCTGTTAACCAATGCCATGCTCCTACTGCTGTACAAATTGAAATAAAACCTAAAAGTACTGAAAAAATTAAAATAATTAGTATTTATTAATTAATTATTTATGAACTAAATAAAAAAAATAAAATTTACTTCTCCATCTCAGCGTTGAAGGTTGCAAACTAGCAATTACTTCGGTAAGTCTCCTTTCAAAAGCTTTGAGATCTAAAAAAATGATTTTTAATTAATAGTACACATTTTTAACTGACAAATTAAAACATTTTTACGGATCACTAAATTTACCTTCACAGACGGTCTGGTCAAGTGACATGTTTATTTAAATTTAACTTCACAGATTAATTATATTCTATTTATAACTATTGTAACTATCAGAAAAATTTATTATTTATTAACGTTGTAATCAAAATAGACTTTTATGAGCACTGTATTTACACCGGGAAGATAAATAAATAAATAAATAAATAAACTGACAATTTGTCAAATTAAAAATTTTAAATTCGATGATTTGGTGAGTGATAAATATTTATTGTAAAAATTTATTAACTTAAAAAATAATAGAATTAATCTTATTTATTATAAATATATGAGTATTAGTTAATATAATTTTCATAACCCCAAACATTATATCTCGTGTCGCTAGTTTATTATTTTAATACTTTACTTTATTGGTAGATGACACTAACACTTTGTTAGAAGATTTTAAAATTTTTTCCATTATTTCAATACTTAAAAAACTTTTTCATTATTTATTTAGTAATATTAAATACCTAAAGTCGAGACAAATTAAAATTTTTTTTGATACTGAAATCAATTTTTATAAATTTTTGTGACAAATCAATAATAAAAAAAAAAATTGTCAGAAAAATTGACAGATTTATGTTAATTTCAGTATCATTATTTTTACATAATTTCTGGTATAAAGATAATAAATTTATGCAACTTTTTTATGATCCTGCAATCAACAGACATCTTATAGTTTTAAAAATTTTTATGACAATTTAATTAATATTAAATAAATTTAACAAATAATTTTGCATGTAAAAATAAAAAAAAAAAATATGAATGCGAATTTGAAGAAACATATTTTTTTTTTTTCATAAAATTGATTTGTTATAAAAATTAAAAAAAATTTTCAGATTTCTGCTGAGATTTCAATATCATCAACTTTTTTATTTTACACCAAGAAATTATTTTGAAAATGAATATAAAAAATGTTCTTGTAATTTAATTACTATCAGTCAATTTAATATATCTATAAATTAATTTATTTTCTTCTCTAAACGTTAGGGTCACAAAAATTTTCTACAACTATTTGAACGTTTAATAAAACAATAATTTATTACAAAAGTTTTATTTTTATAATTAAATTGGTTATTTAACCAATACATACTATAAATATTCATATTTATCTTAATTACTTATATTGTATTTTTTTTTTCATTTAAAAATGAATATAAATATCTATTGTTTAAACTTTAAAGACAATTACAAATTATCACAGATTAAAATTATAATAAACCTCAAAGCTACAAGTTACGAGTTATTTAGAAGATCGATTTATTATTTTATTGATAAATTATATATTGGTATTATTATCGATTCTGACGTAGCATTTGATTGTCACATAAGGAATACCAAGCTCAAAATCATTTCTTGGCCAGTATTTAAGCACGGGTGATTGCTGAGGACGTTCTTCTTTTACTGAGAAGTAAGCGAACAAAACAGTTGCCGTGTAACTTGCTATGAAAATTAGCAAATGCCAGAGAGCATGTAGATAGGGGAAATTTAGATTCATCCATGTGTCACAGAATAGACGATCATTGAGCCAACAGATGACAGCTAGGATCCATACTGCTCCACATCTTACGCCAAGCCTGTATACTCGCATGGATTTTGTCCTTTCAAAAAATTAAAATTAAATCATACATTCAATATTAAGTATATAACAATTAAATTAGTTGAAGTAACAGATACTGAAACTAACAGACATCTTACAAATTATTATTGTTATTAAAAATCGATTATAAGAAAAAATATTTTGAAAAAATTTACACTTGTAATTTTTTTTAAGTTCTAAGTATGGAATTTTTTTTTTCATTAAAAATATTGTCGCTATTACTTAGAAAAAAAATATTGTAAAAAATACTTTTATGACAATTTTAGGATACTTGGATAATTTTAGGAATTGTCATAAAAGTATTATAAAATTGTCATAAAAGTATCATGAAATTGTTATAAAAGTATATTTTACAACATTTTTTCTCTAAGTAATAGCGAAAATTTTTTTTTACACGGCTGTTTGTTTTTACGGCGCATTTATGATAAAAAAGTCGTGAAAAGAAAAAATAAAGATTTCGATAATTAGCTTTTTTACCTTTAAAAGTTGGAAAAAAAATTGAATTTCATGTTATTGTATAAAATTTCTATTTTATCTTTTTTTGATATACTTTTTTTTTTTAAGTACATAAAAAACGACCAATTAAAAAAAAAAAATTTATCAATTTGATAAAAAAAAAATTTAATATGACCTAGCATGGGTTGACCACACTTGTAAATAATTACCAAATTTTTTTATAATAATTTAGTTGCCATAAAAATCAAAAAACTGACAGATTTCTGTTAAATTTAAAAATATTTTTTTAGAACTATTAATTTTTTTTTATTCTTTACTTAAATTAAAAATTACTTTTTGAGCTCAAGAATCATAAATCCAAACGCAGGAATCGCTAAACACATTAAAGCAAATGCATTGATTGCCGGATGCACGACTGATAAACCTGTTGCTATTAATGTTGGCAGCACGATGAACATTGAAAACAATTTCCTGTTGTTGCGAAATATATTTGGCAAATATCTTCGTGGGAAAAATATACAAAGTCCAGTCATGTAAACCCATAGTATTGCTAACTCGTCTAACAGTTGTCCTGAAAAACATATCCAATGAAATTAATTTATAATACCCAAATCACGTACCACATAAATATATAAAAATCTAAAACACATTAATAGTCATATTTATATTCGCTTCCGATAAAACACTGGCTAAAAGATAAATTACAAGGCTGATTACTAATGACATCGATTAAAATCAACAAAGGAATTCTTTCGGGCATGAGTCATGTTTTTGTTTTTATTTATCCAACACGAAATCAATTCTTACCTATCAAAGACAATGTCGCATGAAAGTACGCACTACTTATTCCAACTATCATCAACAAAAACCAGATAATATGTATCGCTGGATTCACGAATCTTCCGTAGTCTTTGAATAAATGCATCAGTATTGGCGGAAGTAATAGAAATACGACATTGCTGAACTAAAAAGTTAATAAATTAATAAAATTTTATTAATAAATAATTTAAATAAAAATTATTAATTTTTAAATTAGAAAATATTTGATCTATTTTCATTTTTTAATTATTTTAAAAATGAAAATAAAATTGGCAGGCATTTGAAAATATTTATATAAATAAATTATTAAAAAAAAAAAATTACATGTAAAATTGGAAAACTATACTAATTTAATTTTTAAAAGAGTGCGAATATTAAAAATTTATTATACTTAAAATTTTTGATTTTTTAAATCAATAGAAATTATGAGTAAAAAAATATTTTTTAAAAATTGCACTTACAATTTTTTAAATTTTCTACTTGTCAAATTATTTTTAATAAAAAAAATTATAAAATTTTCCGGTGTCAGTTAATTTAATTTTCATTAAAATTTTTTGTTAAAAAAAAAAAACTGCAAAATTTTGGGTAGTTTTAGTTTTAATAAATTTATTAAAAAAATATACAAACTGTATTCATAAACTCAGCAATACTTGGAGAAATCTTATAATTTCCTTCACACCAATCAACTGGTGAACTTCCTGGTTCAAAAGGTTCCCACATTATTGCTAAGTGTTGTCTTTATTAATCATATAAAATAATAACTGACGGCTAATGTCAAGTGTCAATTGTATAAAAGACTTTAGTGTTTTTATTTAAATAAAAAAAACAACAGCAAACAATTAAATCCGATTGTTGATTTTAACTGTCATAAAAGAATATTTCAACCACGCACTTGTGAGCGCTTTGTTTACTTCATTGTGTCAAAACATTTCACAGTGGCAGGAGTCTGAATCTGTTGATGTAGATGTAGGTGCACCGACATATAGATAGACTCTAGATGTTTCCATTGTCAAAGGAAAGATCGAATTAAAATGAATGTAAAAAGAGAAAGGGATTAATTTGCACATGCGTATTTTCAAATTGGCCATGTAGGTCTTTAGTTTTTATTTGTTGAAGTAGATGTCACTTGGATCTTAATCTTCGTTCAGTGGATTAATTTTATTATTTAATTTTTTTTTTTATTATAAACAACAGTTAAAAATAAATGACCCACAAATTTCATGAAAATTACTTTACCAGATATTTGAAAATTTATGATACTGAAATTGAGAGACGTCTGATAATTTTTATAAATTTTTTTTTACTAATAGATTGTAGCAAGAAAAATTTTTTCAAAAAATTCCATTTTTAAAAGCTTAAAAAAATTTTAAGTGCAATTTTTATAAAATAATTCTTTAAACCTAGTTTATTATTTAAAAAAAAATAAAAAAAATTATTAAGTGTCTGCCAATTTTAATGTCATAATAATTTTTTAAATTTTTGTAACAAACAATTTATGGCAAAAAAATTAAAAAAAAAAAAAATTACATATGGAAATTTAAAAAAAATATCTTATTTAACAATTTCAAATTTTCACGCCATAATTATAATTTGCTTACCGTCGGTAAGCTTGATTGCCATTTTATTAATAGTTTGGTACCGCCAAAAATTCCCGCCAAATAAATACAATATGGCGATTGTTGTTGTCAAGTGTTATTAAGTCACCATTCTCCACGTGAGAGTCCGCAAAAACTTCTCACAATTTAGCGGTGTAACTAATAACTAATAAAATAACCACAATAGTATTATATTAAACCAACAAAGTTATTAAAAAACAATCAAAAATGCCTTTGAAAATACGACCGATGCGTTATGCCCACCCTGAAGGGCACACTGACGTTTGTTATTTCGACGGTGAAAGGTAACTACGATAATATATATTCTAAACAATTATTATATTTATTTATTAATTAATTATTAAAATTAAAATTCTAGAGGTGGCCTAGTAACATGCGGTGGAGATGGAGACGTAAGATTCTGGTTAGACCTGATGGACGACGACCCGTCAGCTGTGTGTGTAGCCGAGCAAGCGACAGCTTGTGTGTCCAAAAAGAGTAAAATATACGTCGGGAATGACAACAACTCCGTCCAGATCCTGACACACCCGAATCTAGACCGCGAGGGCATTCTCACGCGATTCACTGCGACAGTATCATCACTCATCACATCTCGAAAGAGTAATTTAATCGTTTCAGGAGCCTGCGACATGCGCATCCAGGTAACAAACATCGAGACGAACAGCAGCGTCGAGCTGACCGGCCACGAGGCTCCGATCCTCGGTCTGACCCTCGACCCCCTCGAAGAGTTCGTGTCTTCCTCCAGCGCCGACGGGTCTATAAAAGTCTGGAGCATAAAAGAAAAAAAATCCGTTCACACCTGGAGCAACGTCGTCCCCAAGTGTAACTCTTTTTTCACCGCCAAGGCCCACTGTACTCCTTCATTTAACGCCAAGGACGGTAGCTGGCTCGCGTATCCTCACCAGAAAGACATCGTCTTCGTCGAGAGGAACTCCTGGAGAGAAACGAACCGTTTTAAATGTCCGATACTTAAAACCGAGATCAACATTTGCAAATCTTCCGAGTGCGGGACGAGAATAGCAGCTTGCTCAATCGTCGGCGAGATCGTCGTCTGGAGTACGGAAAATTCTTCAGTACTCGGCTATGTGGAGCACTCGCAGTCCGCTAAAATAACTTCCCTGGTTTGGAATTTAAAGAAACCCTCGGAGCTTGCTTTTTGTGACAGCCTTGGCCAGCTGGGCTGCGTCGACGTAACTCTAGAGGACGGAGAAACTGCTTCTATTGCTGGAACAGACCTGGACAATGACAACGACGACATCTACGCTGAATTAGGTCTAGACAAAGATGACGATGATGATGATGATGATGATGATAATGAAAATGTGATATCGCTGAACAAAATCAAAGCTACCCTAGATGACGACCAGAAGAGTGTCTCCAGTGTGTCTTCAGCAAGACCTTCAAAAGCAGTCGCTGAAGTAAACATGCAGGAGCCGTTCCAGCCAGGATCAACGCCAGTCCACTTACTATCCCGCTTCATGGTCTGGAACGACGTGGGGATCGTCAAGTGCTATACGAGTGAGGATTCCGAGGACTCGAGCATCGACGTTGAGTTCCATGACGCTTCAGTCCACCACGGGATGAACGTACGCAACTATCTGAAGCACACAATAGCTTCTCTGTCCTGTGAAGCTCTGGCGATGAGCTGTCCGTCTAATGATGGGACTCCCAGTAAGTTGGTGGTAATTTCTCTGCAAGGATGGGGCTCCGGGAACAAAGAGTGGTCTGCGGACTTGCCGGAAGATGAAGAGTCTGTTTGTGTCGCTGCTGGGAGCACTTTTGTTGCCTTGGCGACTTCTAAAGGAAATCTGAGGCTCTTTTTAGTAAGTGGAGTCCAGAGAGAAATTATTGCACTGCCTGGACCCGTGATAGCGATGAACGCGGTAGGCAACCAGTTGGTAGTTGCTTGTCACAAGGCTTCTGGGTTCAAGGATCAGTTCATGTCGTTGCTCTGGATCCAAGTTCGTGGCTCGGGTTTGAAGAGCAGGGAAATAAATTTGCCCTTGACTCCAGGCTCAGAGCTGATGTGGTTGGGTTTGTCTGACGCTGCGTCTCCAGTGGTGATGGATGCTGATGGAGTTATCAGGATATTTAATAAGCAGTCGAATTTGTGGCGTGTTGCTGCTGATACTGATAAATATCAGAAGGGTAAAATGGATCATTACTTTATTGTGGGTGTTAGCGAGAGGGAGAAATTGATCAGGTGTATACTGTGCAAGGGTAGTCGTTACCCGCCGACTACTCCCAGGCCTAATGTCATCGAGGTGGACTTGAAAGTGCCGCTCTGTGATCCAGATACGGAGAAAAGTAAAAAGGAGGCGAATATTTGGCAGATTGGTGCTAATCCCAGTGAAGAAACTACGGCTCTCTTTACGCTGATTGCATTTTTCTGTGAAGCTAATACTGAGTTCCGGGTGGTGGATTTGTGCCAGAATTCTGCGGAGCTGAGTGTCATTGAACTGGCGGTTAAGTACGCGACCAGGTCCGGTAAAATGGCACTGGCTAAGAAGTTGCAGGCGATTGCTGAGGAGAAGAATAGAAAGCAGATGGCTGGGAGATATGGAGATGTCGTTGAGGAAGAGGAAGATATTTTTGCGGGTATGGATGAGACTGGAGCAAAAGATACTCAGGAAGATATTATTCTTACGCCGATTTCCAGGCCGACTCAGGACATTGTCATTCGTCCTTCTCCGTTTAGTTTGAAGAAGAAAAATCCCTTTTTGAAGAAAACTAACTCCCCGGGAGTCAAAGGGCTGGATGGGTTGAATAGTTTGCCGGAAAAAGCTCCTAAGACACCTGTTACTCCGGTGGTTAAAACAGCAAAGAAAAGTTTGGGGAAGAAGGAAAGTTTTGTTAAGTGGTATGAGAGGAATAAGGCTGATTTAGAGCAGGAGTTTCCTAATTTAAGTGGCGCCGAGTTGTCCAAGGTTGGACTCAAGAGGTACAAAGAAGAAAATGACTCGCAGTCTACTAATGGGATTGAAGATAGTGATAGTAAAAAAAGAAAATTGTCGAGTCCTGAAAATGATAGCCAGGCGAAGAAATCGACTGGTAATTTGTTGAATTTTTTACGTGATAAGTGATTATTTTATTTTATTTTATTTTATTTTATTGGTAGATATATTTTTAAGAGACTGTACGTAATAAATATTTATAAGAATAATTGGATGAATTAATTTGATTATTTATTGCAGTTAGTTTAATGAGCGGGGAGTTGAGTAGAAAAATCGATCGGAGAAAGAGAAATACGTGTTTTTCTTAAACTGAAGCACTTGGTGACCTAGTTACGGGAGTGTTGAATCTTGGTCTTGATAGTTGATGAAGTCGATTGAATGGCTCGTTTATTTGTAAGGTAGAAGTAAAGCAACAGTCTAAGTCTGCGTTTACGCTTTTACTCGTACCTAGACCGTTTAGTTTGCTCTCTCAGAATCATCGGCGACTATTGTACGTCAGTAGAGCATGATAGGAGGATAAATGAGAGTAAGGAGTAGAATAAACTCTCGAGGGAGTTGGTAATGCTACTTGAAATCCTTCTATTTAGGGGAATATAAAGTAACTACATTGTAAATAATTCATTATATATCATTGAAAGAGCTTTCGCTTGATTGCAGACTTTTATTGTATTTGATATGAAAATTAAAAAAAATTTTATTTATTAAAAAATTTTAAAATTTTTTATCAAAGAATTAATTCATTAATTAAATATTTAATAAAAAGTTACTTTTATTGAGAAATTTCATCAATTGTCAATAAAATTTTCATTAAATAAAAGTCCTGCTGTGATGACAGATAAGAAAATCCTGAAAATTGATGAATTTTTTTTAGAAAGAATTTTATCCATTTTAATAAAACATTTTTATTTTTTTTTGTTGAGAAAAATTTTTTCGATAAATTGAATTAATAAAAAAATAATCACTCTGAGTACAAGGTCGTTGTGATAATGAAGTTGTTGAAGTTTGTTTATTTTTTTTTTCTTTTATTATTTTAATCTTTGAAACTGATAAAATAGTTACAACTGATTCAAACAAATTCAAATATCACGTTCTAGTATTTACGATAATAAACCAAAATTCAGATTTAATAATCAAGTTCATAGATAACAAAAAAAGTGTGACAAAAATAAAAGTTGACAAGTGATGTTGATGGTATCAATTGCCGGTCTTAATTTGTATTGATAATTGACGGAATTACTACAATCGATAGCGTGGCCCTCGAGAACTATAATTTAATTGGTAGTTGAAAAAAAAAAAGGGGATAATAATATAATGGGAGTTGTAATATAAATATGAATACCATAGCATAAAAGAATAATGTAGTCTATTTTTCAGGCTTGCATGCAGAATCATAGTCTCAACTGAAGAATTTCTATATTTTATCCCCCACAAACCGGCTGTGCGACTCATCACTTCTTATATATATTTCTCATATTTATCCTATCGTTCTTAGTAGCTCGAGAAACACGGTTCTCGTATTGTGTCTATCTATATTGTGTCTGGCTTTTAAATTTTTATTTTTATTTTAAATAGTTTAGGTTTTACTGTGAATTTTATTATTTATTTTATGTTTGGTATTTCATCTTACTCTTAATTATTCATTCAAGTTAATTTTAGAATTTTTAGGAGTTTCATCTATTAACATGAAAATAATAATGGATTACTTTTAATTAGAGCAATTGAAAGTATATTAGTCTACTATTTTTAAACAAATTTTTTTCTTGTACTAAAATCAAGAGGTTTTTTAATTTACCTGATTTTTTGGAGCAAAAAGTGCTCTATTCTTTTTTTTTTTTTTTTTTCAATTAAATAATTTAGTTTTTAAAAAATTAAAAAAAAAAATATCGAAGCATATTAGTAAATAATTTTTGTTTTTTCGTAAAAATTGCTTTAAATTTTTTTTAATCAAATTAAATTTTTCAATATTCGATTCTAGAAAAAAAAAAAAAAAAAAAATTAATAAATAATTTAGAGCAAAAATTGATATAATTTTTTTTTAAGTAAAAATTTATCTCAATTTTTAAAAATCAAATTAAGTTTTTAAAAAAAATTAAAGCACGTCATTAAATAATTTTTTTTTTTCACAAAAAATCATTTTTTATTTATAAAAAAAAACTCTAAAAAATCATTTAATTTATTGCAAAAAATTATCAGTCTGAATTAAAAATTTCCAAATAAAATAAAGATCTCACTTACTCCAAATAATAAATATTTAGAAGAATAATATACTGATACACACACGAGTAAGTGAGTAAATAATAATAATAATACCACCAAATTGAATATAAGTTCGTTCACTTGTGGGATTTGTACAGTAGAGTAGTGTATCCGATAACTTAAACCCGAAAGGGCTAGAGGAGCGACGAAGGAGGAAAGTAAGCGGCTTTGGCTGTATTCTTTATTTTGTCTTTTGCCGTTAGTTCACCGGTATCCGTTGCACAGGTAACACTGTGTATGTGCGCCTTACCCACAAGGTGTATACAAAAAAACAGAGTGGTTTTTTTTTTTTATCAACAAGTACAACTCGTTTTTCCTGCTTCAACTTCTGTAAACTTAATTTGTTAATTTAAATTAGATTAAAAAAATCTAATTGTTAAATTAATATTAATTATTAAAACAAACACCATGACGGACACTCCAAAAACCGGTGAGTATTAATTAAATATTTATAATTTTTAATTTTTAATTAATTAGTAAAGTAACATCGAAATATTTAAGCACTTTTAATTGAGCTTTACTGCAAATTTATTTTTATTTATAAATATACAGGAGCGCTAATTTTAAAGCCACGCGTTCGGCTTCGGTTGCGTCAGTAACCCGTCAACTCATGTGTAACATTTAAATACACTTGCTGGTCATTCAGTTCTATCAAGCTTTTGCAAATAATTGTTCTCCGAACAATAGTATCTTTTTCAAACGATATGTTATCGCTTCCTTTTTATTCATACAAGTTAAAGTAGTTTATATATTTTTTTATTTTATATCAATTGATAAAATTTGCAACTGTTTTTTTTTTTTTTTCATAAGATTAAAGTTAGCAGTCACTTGACAATTTTTTAATTTTAGTTAACATAAAAATTATTTCCATAAAATTATTTTAGAAATTTGCATTTTTTTTAATTTCTACATGTCAATTTTTTTTTCTATTTTTTTTTGCCATAATATTTTTTTTACAAAATTATGAAAATTAATTTAGCATATATATAATAATTTTAAAAATTTTATACCAAATAAATTATGGCAAAAAAAAATTGACATGCAGAAATTTTAAAAAATAAAAAATGCAATTTTTTAAAAATAATTTTTTTGATAAATAGAATTAAAAAATTGTTAATGTCATGACAAAATTATTCAAATTATTAAATATATGCTAAATTAATTTGCATTTTTTTTTTCGTTCAAAGCGTTGTTCTCCATTTTTACTTATTTATTTATTTTAAAAATATTTATATAATTTTAATTTTATTAATCATCATTATTTCCCTGCACGTGGATCAGATATGATAGTTTGTATATTATTTTGCTGATTAAAAAATTCCTTTTTACTTTTATCATTTTTCATACGTTGGATAATTATTTTGTAACAACATCAATTTTATTTGTCCTTCTTACTTATGGTAATAATTTATTTACTGTTTGTTCTAACAATAAATTTAACGATAAATAGTTTTAACAATAATTATAATGAATTAATTAATAAAATACTAAATATTATGTTTTAAATTTTCACCTAAAACGTCAAAATAATAAAAATATTTGTTAGGATAAAATTTTCCTTGTTATTAATTATATAAAGAAGGCCAACTGATTGCCGGTATAACTAAGCAATAAAGTAATGATGGGTTTTAAATATAGTTAGATATTAAATAAAAATGAACAATAAAAAAAATATTTTTATTGATAGTAAATTATTTTAAAAGTAACAAGTGAAATATATAAAAAAATTACATCAGCTTTTTAAAAATTTTTTATGATAAAATGATAGCGTTAGATTATTTAGATAAATAAAAAAAAATAGAATAAATTAATTTTTAAGAGTACTAAAAACAAAATTGCTCATAATATTTTTTATTCATTTATTTATTTATTTATTTTTTCAGATTACAAACCCCTGGATCCCATTCAAGATGCTATGGGAATAATGGGACGTTGGCAGATAATCATAACAGTTGCGATTTCTCTCATAAACTTTCCCGCAGCTTGGCATCAGCTTTCAATAGCTGTTCTTGCACCTGGACAAGATTTCACGTGTGTATCACCACCGTCATTCAATACCAGCGCTTCTATGCTGAAGGCATGCAAGGTCCAGGTCAATGAGAGTATGACTGTAGAATGTAACAAGTTTGAATATGATAACAGTGTTTTTAAGTCTACTATCATATCTCAGGTAATTTTTCTTAAATACAAAATAAATATATCATTTACTGAGATAATTTTATGCATTAATTAAAAATAAAAATTATCTTCAATAAGAATTACAGGTCTTAAAATTTACAGGACGAAAACTATTGTTATTTTTTATGATAAATTTTTTATTGCTCTACAATTTTCGTCTCTTTTAAAACTTTTTTAAGTACTAAAATAAAAATGTTGAAATAATTATATAATTTTCAAAATGTTTCTATCAAATAAATTATGATAAAAAAAAATATTTCTGAAAATTCGCACTCATAATTTTTTTTTTTATAAATTTTACGTGGAATATTTTTACTTAATTTTTTTCATTACAATTCAATTGTAATAAAAATTTGAAAAATAATAAAATGTCTATTGATTTCAGTAATATATAGAAATACAATATAATAACAACATAAATTATTATCAGAAAAAATTTAAACACTAAATTCTACAATTATAAATATTTACAAACAATAAAAAATTGACATCAAATGTTAAAAAAATTTCAAGATATAAAAAAGTAATAATACCAAAATCAGATTACTAAGTAAACATTTTAAATAAATTAAATTAGATCCAATAATTAATAATATTAAAAATTAATAAATATTTAAACAATTATAAATGTGGTAATTTATCACAATTAAAAACAGTTTTGATAAATTGATTATTAAAAATGAAAATGGTTATTGTCCAATTTTAAAACCTGTGATTCTTAATAATTGTGAACTAAAAATACAAATCTATCAAATAAAAATAATAATTTTCAGTGGGACTTGGTATGCAGTCGCAAACTACTTCTGAGCTTAGCCCAACCATTGACACAATTTGGTATTCTTCTTGGCAACATGGGGTTTGGAATAATTGCTGATAAGTAAGTCAATTTATCATTATCATAAAAATATCAATCAATAACAAAAAGATAACTAATGAAATAATAAAAAATGTAAGTTAAAAACAATATAATACATTGACCTGAGATAATCTCTGGAGATTTAAAAATTTCATTGATAAATTCAATGAAATTAATTCATATCAATAAAACACATTAATATTAATATACAATAGTTAATACTATAATTTATCTTTAAATGTAGGGTCGGCCGGAAAATTCCTTTGATGATAGCGGTGGTTGTCCAAGCAGTAGCAGGAATTATAAGTGTCTTCATGCCGATGTATGAATTGTTTTTGTTCTTTAAATTCATTTCCGCCATCGCCACTGGCGGTACTATGCTCATTAGTTTTGTCGTTGGTAAGTCTTATCTATAAATTTCATCAGTTTATATTTACTGTAGAGTATGAAGTAAATATCATAGGGAAAAAGTTTATGTCTGATGATCAAATTAACATATATGAGCAATATTTTACAAGTTTTATTTTATGCCTAATAGTCATCAGAATCTAATCATGGAATTTTCTTCTGGTACTTAATAAATAAAAATATATATAAATAAAATATGAAATAAATTTCAGTTATGGAAATAGTTGGGATAGAATGGCGGTCAAGAATTTCAATCCTCTTCCACATTCCATTTCTACTAGGGTTTTTATGCATCCCACTATTTTCATACTTAACTGGCACATGGGACGGTTACTGGCTGACAATATCAATTCCTCCGTTCTTGCTGTTATCCTACTACTGGTAATTTATTTGTTTATTACTTTAATAATTGCGTGATGAATTTTATTAAGGTAATAAACATTTTTTAAATAGTAAATTATTTAATACTGTTAATGTAGGTTGATTCCTGAGTCTCCAAGATGGTTGTTAGCTGTCGGAAAAGTTAAACAGGCACGCAAAGTATTAATGAAAGCAGCTCAGAGAAACAATATTCCTGAAGAAAAAGTAACCGCTGCGATAGAAGCTCATGAAAATTTATTGAATAGAGATAGCACCAACGTAGTTGTTGATGGTGAACAAAGAACCTACAACATGATTGATTTAGTGCGTACACCTAACATGAGGATAAAAACGGTGTGCATCGTTATTAATTGGCTTGTCTGTGGCCTGGGTTTCTTTGGTCTCGGACATTATCTTGGTCATGTAGGAGGGAATGTATTGAGCAATCTCGCTGTTTCAGGTATTAATATTAATATTCATTTTTTTTTTTTTTTTTTAATTAAATGGTAAAGAAACAGTCATTTTTTAAATTAATGTAATAATATATTGAGAGTAGAATATAATATAGTACAAGAAAAAATTTTTTTTTATCAAAATTAGGTAAAAGACCCAGTTATTGACACTGGCCTAGTTGTTAGACACTTGCAATTTTATTTTAATTAAAAAAATTAAATGTTCTCAAAAAACCAATTTTCTTAAAATTTATAATTTAAAAATTATATTTATTAATTTATTAGAGTTGATTTGATTTTTTTTTTTTTTTTTTTTTTTTTTTTTTTTAGTTAAAATAAAATTGCAAGTGTCAATAACTGGGTCTTTTACCTAATTTTGATAAACATTTTTTTTTGTCTTATTTATTTATTTTTCATCACATAAACCCAACAGCCCAAAGGGCCAATAACAGGGTTACTTAATTTTTTACAAGGTTGAAGATTTTGACAAAGTACTTAAGTAGAAGTAAGACTTTATATAAACTAGATTTCTATATTTAAATAATTATTACTTATACTTTTAAATCACAATTACTTAGATTCGAAAAAAAATTTTTTTCATCAATATTATGTCATCTGTAACATGATTTATTACTTCACTAACAATAGAACTCATTAATGATTTTTTTTTTAATTCTTAAACAAAAAATTTTTGAATATTAATTTTATAATTCTATAATTCCAGCTGCGTTCCAACTGCCAGGATTATTACTTGTCTACATACTAATCCAACGAGTATCACGAATAAAAATTCTAATCACCTCAAACATCGTAGGAGGAATAAGTTTATTGCTAATCGTTCCACTTTACCATTATTACACAGTGAAACTGATTTTAGTAACAATCGGTATCACCGCAATGACTGTCAGCTTCCCAACAATTTACTTGTACACTGGAGAACTGTTTCCAACAGTAGTAAGAAACATTGGGTTTGGAGCTTCCAGTGTTGCCTCGAGATTCGGCAGCATCGTCGCGCCGTTTTTAATTGTTGCTGTACAGTATTCATTTCAATAAAATAATACATTTATAGTCCAGCATTAAAAATTCAATTGAACTGAAGATTAATTTTATTTTTAGGGCGATGAAATACCCGGGTGGATAATTCCGGTAATTTTCGGAATTGGTCCAATTATCGGAGCTGGTCTTTGTTATTTCTTGCCGGAGACAATGGATTGTAAGCTGCCAGAGACGATTGAAGATGGTGAAAATTTCAAAAAGTAATTATTATACAATTGATTTATCTTTAAATAAAATTTTTATCATAATTAATTTAATTTTTTTTTTTTTTTTTCAGAAAAAATAATACAACTCCCCTCGAGACTGTAAGCTAAATTAATTTTTAATTCTAAGGCATAGATTGTCTTAAATTAAATCATTTCCATCGCAAAGTTATCATTCATCTTATATATATGTTACTTTTATTTAAATAATATTTATCTTTAAGTTAAAAATTAAAACTTAAATAATTTATATTTTTCCTTTAGATTTATTAAAATAAATTAATATCGTTTCGATAATTCATTACTACATTAAAAGTGTATCCATGACTGCATCAATAATTAAAAAAAAAAAGCTTATAAGCTTCTACCTCAGTGATTTATTTTCAAATTTCGACTTTATAAAATTGTCGAGTTTTTATTTTTATATTTTTTTATCAATGCTTATTCTTATTATTTATAATATTATATAATTATTTTAATATTATAAAAACGGCACTTGAATCTAAATGTATCCTGTTGTTTGTGTGTCAAAATATACGCTTAGATCACGATAAAAGCGGTGTTGTTGATTATTAACTATTAATCATTTCATTACCATAATAAAATAATTGATAATTAAAAAAAAAAATTTTTTTAATAACTTATTAAATTGAGTTGCATGGGTAATTAACTTATCAAGAGAAATTATTACAAGCCTTTCTGTTATTTATTGGCGGCTGAATCAGCATCAGGAAATTTCCGCTCAAGTTATCATTATTATTATTAAAATTGTTACTTGTATTTAAGTTGGCTAAATTATAATTTATAGTAATAGACAATTAACGCGAGTTTTGTTTTAGTTTCACTTTATGGTGTCGTATTACGTTGTTCGACCTAGATAGATCAATTGGTAGATTTAGAGCATAAGTACTTGCGACACCGTTTGTTCTCCAGGCGCTTGATTTCCATATTTCACTGCGCTACTTTTCTAATCAAGCCTTTTATTTAATGTTGATGTACTTTTTCTATTATTAAATTAATTTCACTTGTTAATGACCTTGAATTCATTATCTTAATTTATATTATTAGTAGGTAATAGCTTCTTTTGTTAATACTAGAGTTAATCAACAAATCAAGGAATATTCTTTATTAATTATTTTATTTTTTATTTTATTTAAATAAACAAACCCAACAGCCTAGGGGCCATTAACAGGGTTAATAATACAACAGTTAGTATATAAAAACAAGAAAAATTTTTGATTTATAACAAGATGACTTATATAGCTAGCATAGTGATTTTATATTTAATACAATAATAATATTAGTATTACTATTAATTAAAAAAAAAAATTACATTAATTATAAATATTCTATATTATCAATATTAATTATAAATATTAATATTAATTATAAATTTAATAGATAGATTGTTAAATGAGTAAACCATTGATGTGTTAGCAATTGCAAACAAAAACAAAAAATAATAGTGATTGATAAAATTAAAAAGAAAAAAATAATATTAATAATTATTATAAAATTTGTAGCAATTGCACATAATTAACACCATTGAGTTAATATTTGGCCAAGTGATGCTGTTATACAGCCACTAAGTTAGTTTGACTATTTTATTATAAATGATTAGATTTATTATAAAATGTTTATATACATTTCATATTTGTCAATTTATATTTAATTAAGTTTATTTATTGTAGTAAAATAAATCTAATAAATAATTGTATTAGACAAAAATTCGAGAAATTAAAAAAATTTTTCTCATTAGCGCGGGAAGAAATTTATATTATCATCTTATTGATAAAATAGTTCCCATACTAAGATTTTGTAGTTAATACCTTTTCGAGTTTTCATATCTACACATGTACAAGAAGCTAATTCAAAAATTTCTTTTAAATATGTTCTTTAGTTATTAAATTCTGTTTAAAATTTAATTAATGAACGATTACAATAAATTTTATCCGAAAATATTAAATCAATTTATTCGATATTAAACATTGAATTTCATCTCTTGCTTCAAGGTCAGATATAAATTGTATTGTAAGAGTTCGATACTCAATTGATACAATTGTCAAGTCAATTATTAATTATTACCCCTTAATTGAACTGTCTATCTTTATATTCCCTCAGTTAAAAATTCGTCTTACTTCACAGAATAATATTTATTGTGAAGATAAGTTTTGTCTAGACTGAGTAGAGAATACGGTCGTTTTATAAACAGTTTTGAAACAATTAGTGTTATATGTATGGTTTTTTTTTTTAAAGCTTCTATAAATACCGAAAAATCGTGTAATTTGGAAGTAGATTTTAAAAATATACATTGTAAAAAATTTTCATGGTCGCGTTTAACAAAATTTTGTGTATGAATTTTTTTTTGTATAATATATTAAGCGTTTATCTATATACTACATAAAAGTATGGAGATTTACACATGATTTGTGAAGAAAATAACGTAAAATTTTTTACTGCGAGGAATTCCTTTGATTAATTAGTAATTAGAAATTTGAGAAATTACTTTGATTAATCTATATAGATGAATAAAAAAATTTTGTGATGGGTAGTTTATTATTTTAAAAGAAACTTTTATAATTAAATTTTGTATAACAAAAAAGTAAACTTGATTAAAAAAAAATTCTTGAACCAAAAATATAATTTTTAAAAATTTAATTATCTTAAATCAATATATAAATTTTTGAATTAAGAAATTTTCTTTGGTTTAAGTAAATATTTCTTGATTAAAAAATTTATCTACTTGATTATTATGATGATGAAACTTTTAAAAGAATTTTTCTCTTGAAAATTTTTTTTCTGTGTATTTTTTGTGATGGTAAATTTTGAAAGAGTTTTGAATAATTTAGTGATTGTTCTATAAGTTTGTTCCATTAAATTTCTAATTATTGATCCTAGCATAATGATTTCATTTTTTAAATTTACTTTGAAAAAGTACCCAAATTATAAATATTGAAAAAATTATTTAACCAAAATTTCTTCAATCATAATTCGTAATTTTCGGCAGTATGATAATAACTGCGGGTCGCTAGTTATCGTTATAAATTATATAAAATTAATAAATTACGACGTAGATAGTTGTAATGATTATGCTTCTTCAAAAGTTACCTAATTTGGTATAACTCATATAATGTCATTAAAAGCAAAATTTAAAAAGATAAAAAATTTCTTTTCTACGTCTCAACTCACTTGTCTATTAATAAAAATTTTTTATTGCAAAGTTATACAAAGCAAACAAAGAAATAATCTCTTTTACTACACGTTAAATATTTTAATATATTGTGTACGGAGTGAGCGAAAAAGTCTAGGTATAAGTTATAAGTTCATTGACGTATAAATTATTAGATCAGTCTAATTGGTAATTTACAGGCAGAAGGAACTTTTTTTTAGTCAGTTAATCGAATTTTATTGGACATCGAACATTGTATGCAATAAAATGATAGCTCCTAAATAAACTTCAGTGGTTTGTGAAAATTTCAACAGTTTTAACAATTTATTTTTGTGTGTTTTTCATTGATAATTATTTTCTTAAATCATGACTGTTACTACTAAAAGTGGTGAGTATTAATTTTATAAATATTTATCTTGATGATTATAAAAATTAAGGATGTAGAGATCAAACCAATTATATTATATTTTTATACTTTTTATTCAATCATTCTGTCATAATAAAAAGTATAAATATATATTAGCAATTTCACAAAACAAATTTATAGAATTAAGAAAATTATTCAAAACTTTGAATAAAAAAAATTTGAGATAAAAATAGTGATTACCACCAAAAAATATATAAAATTCTAAAAAGACACCCATTTATATCAAAAACTTTCTGTTAATATAAAATTTAATTATAAAAATTTTTTTTTAAATAAAAATACTCTAGTCATAAAATTTTCCTTTTTTTCTAAATTATATGGATAAATATTTGAGATATAACCACATTCATATTTAAAAAACAAAATAAATAAATAAACAAATTTTATCTAGCACGAAATTTTGATCTATTTATAATAACTACTCCGAAAACTAATTATTATGGCCAGAATTTTTGCCGTAATTACAAAAAAAAAACAATTAATAATAAATGGTGTTAAATTTTTGATATTACGGCAAAAATATTGGTAGTATAAGAAATTTTTTGTTTTTAAAGTTCAAAATCAAAATTTAATTTTATATAAAAAATATGTCTTATAATTTTTCTTAAGATCAATAAAAAAGCCGCAATTTTAAAATTAACATTTTTATAATTAAAAAAATTTTCATTCATTCATTATGAATCTTAATTAAGAAATTATATAGTGAAACTATTGGTCGGATAAAAAAATTATTAGAGATGTTTCCCGTAGAAAATTCAATTTTTCAAAAATTTTTCTTAAAAACTTTTTTTATAAGTAATATTTTCGTGCCAAAATTTTGGATTATCTTATAATAAATTAACTATTTTAGAAAATCATATAAAACTTTGAAAAGGCACAAATTGAGGTCAAGACTTTTCCAATGATACTGAATTTAAAAAAAAAAAAAAAAACCATTTTATATAATAAATATAATGAAGCCAAAATTTTTCTTCTTTTCTCAATAAATAGAAGATTAATTAATTTGGTAGCTGATTCGCTAAGTTTTTACATCCTGAATTTTAATTAATTAATTATCATTAAAAATAATAAAATCTGATAATATTAATAAATTAATGAAGTATGTGGATTTATCTTAATTCATTTTAATGACAATAAAAAGTTTTTGACTTTATTTTAGATGAAAAACCTTTGGATCCTATCCAGGATGCAATGGGCACCATGGGACACTGGCAGATAATAATAACAATAGCAATTTCGCTGATAAATTTTCCTGCCGCGTGGAATCAACTCGCGATTGCCGTAATTGCACCTGGACAAAATTTCACGTGTATATCTCCATTGCCGATTAATCCAAATGACTCGATGCTAAATACTTGCTTTGTCAAAGTAAATGAAAATTTACCAGAAGTTCAATGCGAGAAATTTTCTTATGATGACAGTGTTTTTAAATCTACGATCGTCAGTGAGGTAATTTAACTTTTATTAAATTTATTAATTAAAATATTAATTATGGGACTTGTTTGAAGAAATCGAAAAATTTAATTTAAAACGATTGTACACAACTTCTTATTATAATAAATACGCTGTACTAATCTTAAAATAATCTACTGTAAATTGATGATTATTAATGTCGTATTAGATATAAAAATAATTCTCGGTGTTAATTTTTTATGAAAATTAAGATTTTTTAATCGTTTTACCAGTGTCATATTTTTATTATCACTAGTGAAGCAATAAAATTTTTTGAAAAAGATAACCAATGTTTGTTTATAGTCATCACTCACTATCATATAACAATTGTCAATATTATCAAATAATTTTATTCACTTTTTATTAATTATACCAATTAACACACAGATTTTTATATAAAATAAAAATAATGATTCAAAGTGGGAAATTTCACTAATATAAATAATCTGTTAATTACCAAAATTGTAATTATTATTATAAAATAATTTATCTTCATACAATTTCTTCACATGAGACGTAAATAAATGAAAAATAAAGTAAAAGTAGTAATTATCACCATGAGTACAATTCAATTTTTTACTTTATTCAAATTTATGTTATTTAAAAAATAAATTTTAAAAAAAATTTTTATTTTTAAAAATTTTTTTTAATGAAAATAAATAATAAATTTATTTATTTCAGTGGAATTTAGTTTGTGAGCGTCAATATCTTTTGAGTTTTGTACAACCTTTGACTCAATTGGGAATTCTTGTGGGTAATATGCTTTTTGGAATAGTTGCTGACAAGTAAGTTCATCTATAATGTATTCTTATGAATAAAAAAATAGTTAAAAAAATTTTATTAATATTTATATTAACGATAATTATTTTAAATAATTTTAGGATTGGTAGAAAAATTCCATTAATGATTGCAGTAATAGTTCAAGCTATAGCAGGAATCATAACAGTATTTATGCCATCCTACGAATTATTTTTGTTATTCAAAGTAATTTCTGCTGTTGCTACCGGTGGTACTATGCTCATTAGTTTTGTCCTTGGTAGGTTAAATTTAAATTATTTTAAGCTTAATTATATTATTGTAAATATTGTATTTCATTAATCAAAAAAAAAAAAAAAAAAAAAAAAAATGAATTTCAGTCATGGAAATTGTCGGCATTGAAACGCGTTCAAAAATCCTGACAATGTTCCACATCCCATTTCTTCTTGGATTTTTAAGTGTTCCATTGATTTCATACCTAACAAGAACTTGGGACGGTTATTGGTTGACAATTTCTATTCCTGCGTTTTCGCTATTCTTCTACTATTGGTAATTTTATCATAAATCATTATTTCAAAATTTAATTTTATAAAAAAAATCATAAAGCCGTAATTTCAAAATTAAGATTTTCATGATTAGTAAAAATTTTAATTATTCATTATAAATCTTAATTTTGCAGTTACAGTAAAAATATTAGTCATATAAAAAAATTTTAAGAGACATTTTTTGTAGAAAATTAAATTTTCTACAATTTTTATTTAAATTTTTTTTCTAAGACCAATTTTTTCGCCTCAATATCAAAATTTATATCTTCTATTCCAAAAAGGTAAAAATCTTGGCCTGAATCATTAATTTTTAAATTGAATTTTTGAACTGTATTGATTCAGGGTGATACCCGAGTCTCCAAGATGGCTTTTAACAGTAGGAAAGATAAAAAAAGCGCAGTCAATTTTGATGAAAGCGGCCAAAAAGAACAAAATACCAGAGCACAAAGTCTCTATGGCGATAAACGATCACACAAATTTACTGAAACAACACACCAACACTGAAATTGATGGTAATGGAAACTCAAAATCATACAGTGTTATTGATTTGGTACGAACACCAAATATGAGGATAAAAACACTGTGCATCGTGTTCAATTGGTTCAAATGTGGCATGGTGTTTTTTGGAATTGAACATTACCTTGGCCACGTCAGCAAAAATGTTTTAAGTGATCTTGCTATTTCAGGTAATTAACATGAAATTTTTCAATTATTTTTCATCCGAATTTTAGATTTTGTAATTCCAATTTTTATATTTTTGAGTATTGAGTAAAAAATTGTAGAATTTTGTAAATTTTAATCTTCTTTTTAAATCATTTGAAGAGTCAGTGGATAAAAAAAAACTTTATCTTCTTTAATGCAAATATACTTTAACATTAAAAAATTTATGGAATGATTTTTAATTATTAATCTTCGCAGTTTGATATAATAAATAAATTTTAATATTGAAAATAATAATATCAAAATTTATTTAATTTTTACGAGAAGTTTTCTTTAATAAATTTTCTCTATAGTCATTTATTGATTAAAAATTATAAAAATTTTCATATGAAAGTTAATTTCAGTAATATTAAAGTAATTAATTTTATTTATTTAAGTGCAGTAATTTTGATAATTTATTAATATTTAAAAAATTCATTTTTTTGGAAAAATATAATTAATATTTACAAATCAAACCTAAGATAAACTATTTAAAATATTTTTTAGTAATTTTGCTCATAAAACTTGATTTAGCTTAATTAAAAGCAATTAAATGATAAACTTATTTAATTTCAGCGGCATTCCAGTTCCCAGGACTTCTTCTTGTGTATATTTTGATATCCCGAGTATCCCGTCTTAAAATTCTGATATGCGCGAACGTTTTATCAGGAATAAGTCTGCTATTGATGGTCGCGTTTCAGGACAGCCCTACTATAAAGTTAATACTGGTTATAATCGGTATTACTTGCATGACTGTGAGCTTCCCAACAATATACTTGTACACTGGAGAATTATTTCCTACTGTAGTCAGAAATATTGGGTTTGGCGTTTGCAGTGTCGCTTCCAAACTTGGCAGTATTGTCGCGCCATTTTTCATTGACAATGTACTGTATTTTTTAATTCCTATTATTTTATTATAAATTCTTCTTATTAATTATTAATTATAATTGCAGATTACAAAGTTATCTTTTTGGGTAGTTCCAGTAGTTTTTGGTATGGGTCCAATCCTGGGAGCTATTCTCTGCTACTGGTTACCTGAAACAATGGATTGCAAATTACCTGAGACTATTGAAGACGGTGAAAATTTCAAAAAGTATGTTTTTTTTCAATATTATTTTCATTATTTTTTGGTGAAAAAAATTTCTTTTTTTTTTTTTTTAGGAAGAGTAAAATTTGTCAAGACAAGTGTCCAAGTTAAATAATTTTAGTAATTATTATTAATATTATTTATTATCTCAAAACTTTAGATATGTTTTTTTCATCATCATTATCATCATCAGTTTTGACTCAAATTTAGAAAATTATATTTTTGCATATTTTTATATTATAGATACATAATATAATCGATTTTTGAAAAATAAATTTAAATTTAATTGTAAAGATTGTAATTTTTTATCATAAAAAATTAAGAAAAATAATTCATTCGATTTAAGCGAAAAATCTGCGAATAAAATCATAAATTATTTGAAAGAAATTAAAAAAAAAAGCCATTCGGCAGCCGAAGTTGAAGTAGATTTCATACTTCAATAAAATTATTAAGTTTGAAATTAATAATTTCAGTAATTTCGAGAAAAAAAAAAAACTCATGCAACCGCAAATTTTATAAAAAGATAGCAGATTTTAATGTAATTTTTATTTGACATATACAACAAAATGTGAAAATTAAAGCTTATTTAAAAAGCTTATAGGTACATTTTACAGAAATTAAATACAATGTCGCATTCAAAAGTTATTCGATAAATAAACTGTAAAAAAGTGTACTTTTAGGATTTTTAAGAATTTTGATCCTGTAATTTAAAAACTAGACTGAGAAAAAAAAATACTTTTTTCAAAGGAAATTTTCTTGATACAAGAATTTATATTCTTGAAAATTTTCAAAAATATATATTCTGAGCTCAAGAAATTGTTAAATTGATTGAAATAATTTTTACTTAATTTAAAGAAAGCTATTCTTTTGTTTATATATTATCCAAAGATAAATATTAATGTTCTTCTCTTCAGAAATTAATAATTAATAATAATAGAATATTTGATTGTCAGCGAGTTTCTTGAACCAAGACATTGTTAATTGAGTAAAAGTATTTTTTTTTCTCAGTGTACATTACCGATTAAGCTCATATTTGAACTTTTTCATCTATATATAAATATATAAATACATACACATATAAACTTTTGAACCATATTCAAAATTTTTCTGACTCAGCTCTTCGAGTTAAGTCGAAATATAACAAAATTTTTCAAAAGTTGCGTCATGAGGACCAATGCAATAGTTGGATTTCTATGAAATCTACTAATAAATTGCTATAATTCTTTAACAAAATCATGTATTACTTCAAATAACGTAACAAGTTTTTATTTTTGAAACAAAGAAATTCTTATTACGCAATCCAAACTATTTATTACTTTTGCAGTTTTTGAAAACTGATGAAATTCGTTGAAATTTTTCAGCCCCTTGCATCAGTCTTTTAAGTATTGTATTGTTATTAAATAGTCGTTTGCTACAATAGAAGTCTAATGAAAATGAGGTATATAAGTAAGCGGTAGTAGGGAGAAGGTAGTCCGTAATGTTCAAGTTCATTACTGTGATTAGTTTCAGTGTAGTTTCATACCTGTTACCGAGAAGCAGCCGGAAGAGCCCGGAAAATATATTGTGAAATATAATATTGAACAGGCTTCCGGCTGCATTCTCAATCAACACGATTTAGTAAGATCAATAGTTCTAAGTAACACTACTGCAAAAATAAAGAATAATGGAAGATACTGCAAAGATTAGTAAGTATTTTACATTTTTTCTTATTAAAAATTAATAAATATTTTTGCTTAAAATAAAACAGTTTTTTTAATTTCGAAAAATAGCGCTTGATTTTTTTCCTGTTTAAAATAATATAAATTTTTTCAGATCCAATAATCCTGGATCCTATTCAGGATGCAATGGGCACCATGGGACGCTGGCAAATAATAATAACACTAACGATTTCTCTAATAAATTTCCCTGCAGCATGGAATCAGCTCGCGATTGCCGTAATCGCACCTGGACAAGATTTCACGTGTATATCTCCAGTGCCAATTAATTCCAATGATTCAATGTTTAAAGCTTGCTCTGTTAAAATAAATGAGAGTTTGCCAGAAGTTCCATGCGATAAATTTTCTTATGATGACAGTGTTTTTAAATCTACAATTATCAGTGAGGTAATTCAATTTTTATTAAATTTATTAATTAATATCAGAAAACTTGGAATCAAATAATTATTTTTATTGTTAATATAAAAAAATAAGCTGCACAATAATTTTAGAAAATATTGAATAAAAAAAATTTTTTTTTTTATTAAAATATTTCATCAGAAGTATTTTTTGGAATTTTTCCTTTTAAGTGATTGAAACTAATAGACTTTTATATTATATTATAATACATGTTATAATTGTCAAAAAATCTATTTACTAAAGTTTGTTAACGAGATTAAGATAAAAAGTTCGTTGAGTACTAATTACCATGATAAGAATTAGTGACAAAACTTTTCAAAAAATTATAATGATAAAACTTATTAATAGAATTAATAGATAATTCATTTAAAACGTCACGGACATTGTTACATAACAAATATCAATAAAAAGAATTATTTATTTTCATTATTTTTAATTGAAATACAAAATTTTTCACCACAGCATGATAAAATTATTAAATTGTTTTAACGAATTCAAATTTTCGGTAATCAATAGTCAAAATAAATTTAATTAAGTGAAAATTTGATTTTTTTAGTGGGATTTGGTATGCAGTCGTAAATATCTTCAGACTTTGGTTCAACCTATGACGCAGTTAGGTATTCTTATTGGCAATATGGTCTTTGGAATAGTTGCTGATAAGTAAGTACTTAAATTAACTTTAAAAAAAAGTATTGAAAAAAAAAAAAAAGAAGAGAATAAACTCTAATAATTTTTAATTAAATTTAGGATTGGTAGAAAAAAACCTTTGATGATTGCAGTAATAGTTCAAGCAATAACAGGAATCATAACAGCATGCATGCCCATTTTTGAATTGTTTTTGCTGTTCAAATTTATCTCTGCCATCGCAACAGGTGGAACTATGCTCATTAGTTTTGTAATCGGTAAGTAAAGCTCATATTAAAACAATGAAAATAAAATTAACAGATATCTGACAGTTGTTAGAATTTTTTTTATTAGTAAAATTATTACAAAAAAATCAAATGAAAAAATTCCACTTGTAAATAATTTGATAAACTATACGTGCAATTTTTTTAAAATATTTTTTTTATTTCTAATTAAATTATTTTAGTCGGCTAATTTTAGTTTCATAAATGACCGTACAATAAATTACAACAAAAATTGATAATTTAATAAAATTTCAGTGATGGAAATTGTTGGCGTTGAAACCCGTTCAAATATCCTGACAATGTTCCACATTCCTTTTGTGCTAGGATTTTTGACTGTGCCATTGTTTTCATATTTGACAAGAACTTGGAATGGTTATTGGTTCTCGACCACTGTTCCAGCATTTGCATTGATCTCCTATTACTGGTAAATTTATAATTTTTATTACTAATCATTATATGTTCTGTTAATACCATTCTAATAAAATTAACTGCCTTAGGTTAATCCCAGAGTCTCCACGTTGGTTGTTAGCAGTTGGCAGAGTAGAGCAAGCACGCCAAGTATTGCTAAAAGCCGCCAAAATAAACAAAATATCTGAAGAAAAAGTCACTGAAGCAATAGAAGCCCATGAAAAGTCATTGTCCATAGTTACCAAAAATATTGACGCTGATGCCGAACAAAGAACTTATGGTGTCATAGATTTGGTGCGAACACCCAATATGAGAATAAAGACACTGTTCATCGTCTTCAATTGGTTGAAATGCGGCCTGGTATTTTTTGGCATTGGACAATACCTTGGTCACATGAGCGAAGATGTATTAAGTGATCTTGCTATTTCAGGTATGCTTTATCAAAAACTTCTTTATTAGTCTGAATAATCACAAAGAAAAAAAAGTCCTGCCAAAATTACAGGAAAATTTTTGAAATTTACATTTTTAGAAATGTAATTTCTTCATTGTAAAACTGTAAACTTGAAAACGTTAATTTTATATTGAAAAAAATGTAAATTTAGCATGAAAAAAAAAATATAAATTTAGTCTAGGAAAATTTGTAAATTTTACATTGAAAAAAATTATATATGTTCAGAAATCATTTGATTTTATTTAACTAATATAAAATTTTTTTTTTGGGTATGTTACTTTTATAATTCCTGCAAAACTTAGTTTTTTTTTTTTAAATAAACTGAGAGAAAAAATTTCTTTGGACAAAAATTGGCATTGCTGTGATAAGAAATTAATTTGCTTAAAATTTTAAACAATTTCATTTTTTAGCGAAGAAAAAAAAATTTTATCTCTTTGAAAAGAAGTTTTTTTGATTTGGAAAAAAAAACAATTTCAGATAGACAACTTTCGAATTTTCATCTAAAATTGTTTTTCCCAAATCAAGAAAACCTTCTTCGCCATGAAATTTACTATGAGAAAAATTTTTATTTTTTTCAGCTAAGAAATAAAATTGTTTAAAATTTTCAAGAAATTAGTTTCTTATTACAACATTGCTGATTATTTTCAAAATAAATTTTTTTTCTCACTGTACAACATAAAATAGTCATGTAAATTTTTTCCGTACATAATTTACACAAAAACATTGTATTTATTTCAATTTTCTAGCTGCTTTTCAACTGCCAGGACTGCTTCTGGTCTACATTTTAATTTCCCGAGTATCTCGTCTGAAAATTTTAATCACTGCAAATGTTCTATCAGGAATAAGCTTGCTGCTAATGATAGCATTTTACGACAACGATACAATCAAACTGATTTTAGCAACAATCGGTATCACTTGTATGACTATCAGCTTTCCTACAATTTTTTTGTACACCGGAGAACTGTTTCCAACAGTAGTCAGAAATATTGGGTTCGGCGTTTGCAGTGTCGCTTCCAAACTCGGCAGCATTGTTGCGCCGTTTTTGGTTGACTATGTAAGATATAAACTTTTTTCTTATTTTTTCTCACAGTGATTTTTTTGAAATAATCAATGATAATTAACCATCTTTTTATAGATTGATGATCTGGCTTATTGGGTAGTTCCACTAGTTTTTGGTATAGGCCCAATTCTGGGAGCCATCCTCTGCTACTGGTTACCAGAAACAATGGATTGCAAGCTACCAGAGACTATTGAAGACGGTGAAAATTTCAAAAAGTAAGTATCAAAGTTAACTATTTATTTATTACAAAACAGCATTTAAAAATTATATTTTATTTTGTTGCAGAAACTCACGAAAAACTTCTGTTAAGAATCCGAGTTAAACTAATTGGAATTAGATATTAAAATATTATTATATAAACTACTTATAATTACTTGTAATGTATCATTTTTATAAAGTTGTCGATCAATTTTTTAAATTAAAGAATTTGTAATGTAAATTTCCATTCCTAGGATAGACAGTCAAAAATTTTCATACGGATGATTGCTTAAATTATAATATAAGTCTTTTATTTTACATTATAATCTTCATTGATTCTTTAAAACTAGGCCGTAATAACAAACAAATTCCAGAAATTTTAATTCTTTTATAATTACATATCAAATAAAATAAAATTACAATCTTGAAAGCTTTTATATTACCTGACTTAAAAATTTTCCCAAAATTTCATTAAAAAAATAAAATTTCTGAAACTAAATCCTTGCACGGCTTACCTTTAAACAACCAATGAAGTTTAATCTATAAATAAAAATTTAATAAGGAAATTGAGTGATATTGATCGCTAGGTAGTCGTATGACCAAGATAGGGTACTTTATGTGGTAGATGACTAACAACATCATTAGTTTTTTTATGAACAGCATCAATCATTTGGTTTCCATACTTTACAGTGCTGCTCAAAGAACCAAGCCACGTTGAAACGATGCTTTTACCGTTAGTCTTCTCACTTGGTACCGGAGGTCCTGTGAAAAATGTTAATTAAATTATTTATTATTATTTCTTTTAGTTTTAGTGAAAATTATTCAAAAATATGAAAATAAACTGTTAAATTTTTTACCTATAAGAAAGTTCAGGATTACTTGATTGACCATGTCGGGTTTTTCCTGATGCGGAAAATGTTGCGCGCCTTTGATAACTTTTATGTTGGACTTTGAAGTATATTCTGAGCTATGAACGATGCTCTCTAGAGAAAAGAAGGGGTCTGAGTTGCCTACTATTAGCAAAGTTTGGTTGACAAGCGGTTCTGTCGATTTTACACGAATGAATGGTAGGTTTCTGTAGTAATTTATCGGCCCGGTCCAGTCCTCTTTTCAAAAAAATGTGAAATAATTATTAATAATTTTTAATCATTATAATTATAATTATAATCATTTAATCGACTTGATTGCTGACTTTTTTATTAAATTTTGTTTAATAATTATTTATTGATTGGTAAAAAGCAGTAGCTTGTTAACAAACATTTTTTAAATAAAATGTTTAATTTTAATTTAACAAAAATGTTTGTTAATGATTGAATTATAATAAAAAAGATAATTTGATAATTGTAAGTAGAATAATTACCTCTTCTACTAAAAGCATATTTGTAAGCTTCAACATAATTTTTTTCATTTTTTTTATTTATTTGTAGATGCTTATAAGTATCATTGATTATTGATAAGTCTTCCTTCAAAGCATCTATTTCTGGTAGAAAAGGAAGTCTGCTAAAATGCATCCATCTATGACAAGTAAGTATTAATACGAAAAAAGTAGTATTAAATTATTAAAAATTAGCTATAAATTTTTTTATTTTTAGAAAGAAAATTGGAGGAATGATTCATAAAAAATTACAATAATGAAGAATCGTAAAAAAGTAGTCATTAAAGTTCACAAATTACCTGTAAAAAGAATTATTCTTGCATAGTTCATCCCAATAAAGATTCGGATGTGGACTAGATATAGCGACAAATTTATCAATTATGTCGCTATGAAGTATCGTCATAAACCAGCCGAGCAGCCCGCCAAGATCGTGCCCAATTATGCTGCATTTATCGACTCCCAGTGTCGAGATAAATTGACGTAATTCGTTAATTAAAACTTCTATTCTGTATGATCGCCTTCTGGTCGGTTTGTCGCTATCACCAAACCCTTTCAAGTCCAAAGCGACCACTCTGTAAATTAATGCAAATTATCGAAATTTATTTGTACATTAGGAATTTTAATTAATTAGGAAAGAGAGAGGAATATAAAAACCTGTAGTGCTCTGATAAAATTGGCAATTGCTCTCGCCAAGACAGCCAGCAATCGGGAAAACCGTGCAGTAATAATAATAATGGTTGAAACTTTTCTCCTGTTTCTACATAATGAAGTTTTATACCCTGGAATTATTAAATTAATTAATTTTATTGACTAGTTTTTTTTCCATTAATTATTTTTAAAGTACGTAATTATAATTATTTATTTCTGATGATTGAATTCAAAGTTTTTAAAATTTTAAAAGCTTGAGATAAATATTTTAAAATTTATTTTTCTTAGACAAAATTTTTATTAATCATTAAATTATTTTATTATTTTAAATAAGTTAGAAATTTTGAGCTATAAACTCAAAATTACATTCTTAATAATTACTTTATCTCCAGCTTTAAAGAACAAAAAAAATGCAAAATCTTAAAAGCCTTATTCATAATATGATAATGTTTAAAAATTTTAATTAATTACAGAATTATTAAATATTTATTCAATTGATAGAATATTTAATTAAACAACTTTATTTATTTATTAATCAATGACGCCTCATAACGTCACGATCATACGAGCTCCAATCCAGTAGATAAAAATAAATTTAAGCAATGAAAATTTTATTATCACGAGGTCAGAGCGATTACAAAAAAGTTAATGACACGATAATTTTGATTGCCTATTTTACTGCTTATTAATTGATAATTGATATTCTTATTTTTTTTCCATTTAAAAAATGTTAGATAAAAGTAACATAAGTGACAGTAATGAGAATGAGTAATCGGTAGTATACCTTTAATTTGACATAAGAATGTTCACCGAGATTATTATTGACAAGACAAGGTGGCGGTTTATCGCGCTGATGCAAACGAAATAAGTTTTTACGGTGCCATGTCCATTTTACCAAACACTTTAATATCAAGTAAAATCCGTATATAAAACAAAGGATGTGAAGTTTTGTTTGTTGCCACAACGACACTTGGACTATATTATTCACTTTCATAATTACAATATTTTTATTTTAGTAATTAATAACTATCCCTACACTTGACTTATTTATATTATTTCAACATAATGCATTGTCACGTATATAAATTTTCCCCAATATTAACTCAACTTATCGTTGCTTTACTTGATAAAAAATGTGATCGATTGGACATTTTTGTTTTATTAATTAAAATAATAGAAATAAATTAATTGTTTTAGTGCGGTGAAAATTAAACTCGCGTTTCTGATCGCCGAATCATCTTGGACTGTGCCCACAACATTTAGCTTGGAGCACATGAATGACGTCGTTATCAGGATTTTTGACCCGATACATGTATAAAAGGAAAAAAACTCTTAAAGATAAAACGAAAGTAAGCGCACTTTAACAACTCAACACTTGGTGGCTCTGAAATTTGTTTTGTGATTAAATTGTTTAATAAATGATCAATTAAATTCTGCTAAAATTTATAAATATAATTTTTTATTGGAAAAAATTCGTCAATCCAAAAATATCCACAGTATACACAGGAAAAAATTTTTTTTCATTGCGTCAAGAAAAGTTCTGTATAATAAATTTATGTGTAATTTTTGATAATTTTATGCATTAATATTTAATGATACTATTGTGTTAAATCAACATAAAAATTACTAAACATTAAAAGTTTTTACAGAAAATTTTTACCGTGTAAATAAAAAACAGAGAAAAAAAGAATAAAATAAAATATACGGTACAAAAGATTAATACCTAATTGGTTATTAAATTGAAGTTCCATATACCATAAATTGTATACATCAGAATATTCAATTACAATTCCATTTGGACGGTTTCATAGCATCGCGGAGATACATGCCATTACTCAAAACTTTACTCAATATATACCCGGTACATATTTTTTCCTCGAGCGACTCTCGTTCATCCGTTTGTCAGTCGCAACTTTCATTCGTAGCATAACTATAAAACCAGGATAACGCCCGCGGGTCCACGTGCTATATAAACTTTCTTTGTACTTGGTCCCTTCTATTTCATTTTATCCCCCATTTAACTCTTTTACAATCTATATTTCCAATGTAACGTTCAATGAACAAAATTTCATTATCTCTGATTTAAATAACTCACGTTTCAAAGCATGATAATAAGACCTATTTTTTTTATTTGGTTTTGTTATGTCAGATATAAAATAGATTTTTTGTTGTGTATACCTCATATCTGGAATATTATTTATTTCACTCGAATCTTGAGTATTAAAAACTCACAATTAAAGTCATATTTACATAAAACAACTGGCAATTTTTAAGTTTTTTTCTATTTTATTATTAAGCGTACAAATTACACAACCCAAAAAAAAAAGTTTGTTTTGTCCTAAGGTTTACTTTATGATCCTTCGCTTGATTATGCGGCAAAATAGAGAGAAAATATCTACATTTCATTTAAATTTTGCTTTTAAAAAAGTTATCATTTATCATATTAACACATGTTTGCGAGTTTTCATAGATTGAGATCTATATCTTAATATAACAAAAAATTTCGTTATATTTAAATTTACCGCCTAAAAAGAGGGGATTAATTGTTACCTTTATACAATCTCTCCAGCTGGCGCTGGAGTGGTAAAAGCTACTGAACTGTTCAGAACAAGTCTAGAAGAGGTTAAAATGTCATCGAGAAAATTTAAACATGACGCTGATTCTTTTTGATATATATGTGTGGCAAATTTATCAAAGTACTAGGTATAAAATTTAAGTGGAACAAAAGTAATGAGCTTTGTGAAGCTTACGAAGCCTATTTTAACTGCGTTATTCGGAATCCAGACAAGCCATGGGTTTTATATGTTAAACAATGGTTGCAAAGGATGTTTGGAAGGTAAACAATTTTTCATGAAAAAAATACTATAAATATCTTTATATTTATTCTAACCATTTTACATTAGTGTCAAGGTGAGAAAAAAAAAAGTTTGGCAAATCCAAATGTGGCATGCCTTAAGCGCTCATGTGATTTGTAAATTTTTCAATGTAGATCAAATCTACAAATTTTCACTATGAACCTCAATATTACGTTTAATTTTTCGATAATTTTATGTTGAACGTCATTAGAAAAAAAAATTATCTCTACTATACACTTTCAGAATAAATTGAAACGATAATTATAATATTGAGTTAATCTAGAAGAAATGATAAGAAAATTAATTTTATTTACATTTCAATTTAAAGTTTCATCCAAATTCTTCCGCGGGTAGTATTTATTTTGATACGAATTCAAAGCCCTCTTGAGTTTCAAGTAAATCATGAGAAAAAACGGTAGGGAACTGTATTACCAACGGATACCAGACTACCTGACAATTGTAGTATAGTATATGCTGTCTTCAAGCTCTATTTAGAATAAAAAAGTAATATGTGGCGGCTCAAGAGAACAAAATTTAATTGTCAGACATTTTTGAATTAATTAATTATAAACAAATGAATCGATATTACAACATGATTGATGATACAGTTATCCACACATAACCAGAGATAAAATTGCAATAAAAATTAAGCTTTAATAGCGTCTACAATTGCTCGTCTACTATTATCAAGCCCATGAGCTCTTAATATTTGTCTCCATATGCTAATTAGAAAATTACAATTATAGTTTTTTTTAACTGAATATTTCAATTAATCTATTAGTGTTGAATTTATAAAATATTAATTGAATAACTACTTTTTTAACGTCATTTATCTCGGTTTTACAAAATTATTCAGTATGTAACAAAATAACAAAATGCCAAACTCCAAAAATTTCGTTCCAACTATAAATTCTTATGGATGTATACGGGTCTCTATTCTCAAGTACCTACTTTTATGACTTTCTGGCCGTTGAGACCGTAAATGCATTCCCTTGTTTTTTTCAACCCGGGCACTCATCTGGTTCGGCTTAAATATTTTCGTTGTTACTTTCCTTTTTTTTTTTTTATATATATGTAATATTTTTGTCAACGCTTTTTCTCGAGAATATTTCTTAGAATCCTTCCCACCAATTACAAAATAAAAAGAGTCTTTGTACGCTGGAGTTCAAAAAACACTTCGGTAAGCGTCAGTCTTCACTAATCTTTTGGCCACGTAACTTCACGATACCTCTTTCCAAAATTCTACCTATTCTCTCAGTTGATTCAAAGTTGTCAGCCTGTTTGTGGTGATTTACTCACATCAGTGTACACAGTGTATTTCGTCACTCGTTCGATCTATCAATCATCAAGAACTACTATCTAACGTCTCGAGGCAGCTCTAATCCCTAAATAAAATACTCAAAGGTACGTACAAAATACAATTGGCAAATTTCACTCTATAAAAAACGTCAAATACTTGAAGAATCGTATTGTCTATTCGACCTGTCGTGGATGATACACTTTTGAGTTATCTTTGTCATCTTGTAACTTCTAAGATAGTCTTCACGCATTTAACTTCACAAATAACGCATAGTTTAATTACTGAAAAGTCAATCTTGAAGAACTCCTATCAGGATTTCTGTGTCCAGGCATGGCTCCTTAACCAATTTGAGTCTCCTAACAACAAAGCATGTCTCAAGCCCAGAGGTAAGTTGTTCAGGACCTATCACATAACTTTCATCTCAATAATTGAGTCATCTGAAAGAGTTCTGTTAGGCATCTCAACCTGGAACTTCTCTAAAATCAAATCAAAATCATTCTCATACAATCGACTATGTTCTCCGACCGCTATCCAAACCGATCTCCAAAACCAATTCATTACAATGTGACATTAGATTCACAGAGATAGTATTGGACGAGTCAAAATCATTGTCCGTACGAGAATCCAGTCTAATCACACCTTGAGAGGCGACAAATCTCCAACAATTAACAGGAGTTTACTTCTGTTAACCTCCAGCTGAAATCATCGACGATCCTGTTAACATTGTCGTCTTGCATTTATCAGACTCAGATAAATTTACCATCATTATATTGCTTAATTAAACTTTGTACCAATCCGCTACAATAAAAGAAAGCATTTAAACAATTGGAAACTATTTTTTCTCACCGCAATATTAAGACGGCTGCTATTTTTGCGTTGTAAATGTTACGGAAAAGTCGTAAAATTATCTCAGTTATGCTCATTTCAAAGTTCGAACAAAAATATTGAAAAACAGTATATACCGTCACAAGAACCTCAAAGCTCATATACTTATTGCGATAAATTTAATAATAACATGGGAGAGTATTGAGAAAACAGGGAGAACGTTTTCATCAAGACATTATGAACTTTTAACACCGATATCAAGGCGATTACAATTAAAATGTAAAATGATTGAAAACTGTATTTGGTATTTAGTAAGAGAAATCACCGAAGTGTATAAAAATCTATCGAAATTTTATATTTTTATGGCACAGATGAACTTGATGGTAAATAGTGTTATTGCAAAGAAAAATAAAAAAATCTCACGTGTGGAAATTGAAAAAAAAAAACGGAATGAACATTTTTTTACGAAACTTTCTGCTAAATTTATTCTGAAAAAAAAGAAAAAGTGCCTAAGTATTTATTAATTTCAGCATCATAAGTATGTTAATCTAAAAAATCAGCATGATTGTTATCGAGAAAATTTTTTTTTAAATACAAAAAATTTGGCAGCGGTGGGATTCGAACCCACGCCTCCGAAGAGACTGGTGCCTTAAACCAGCGCCTTAGACCGCTCGGCCACGCTACCATAATAATTTTTTTCTAAATGTGCTATTTAAACATAAGTGCTATTTTCTAATGATAGTTTTCTAATTTTAGCGTGAGAACTTATCAAAATATTATAAAATATAATATTCTATGATTTATAGATGCCAAAAGGATCAAAAACAATTTTTGAGCTCTAAGTTTTTGCAGTAAACTTAACTGATTCATCAATAACTTTACGACAATTAGAATAGATCATAAAGTATCCGAGTTTTGTTGATTTTATATTTAAAAATAATGACTTCTGCAAAAGTCATTTTCTACAATAACTGTATTCTCATTGATTCTTTTCTTTATGCGCTGCGACGGAAAATTTTTCATTGAAAATCCAAGTGCATCTGTGTCATAAGTAAAACACTGGACACCTGGGTACCCTCGGGGCTTCTTGGGCGGAGCTTTTCACGCAAAGCTCAGCATCCTTTTCTAAAAATACATATAATAATAATAACAACAACAAAATACATCTGAACGCCTGCGCAGTCTTTAGTATATATTTATAGCTTCATATTCACCCCCATAAACTTCCACGCGAATATATTTCGATCCGTGTCACGTAATCGGAGAACGTGCACCAGAACAGCCCGGCAAAAAAATATAATCAATCCCTCGATATTTCTCTTGCCCTCTTTAGTTCAACTTTACTTTTATTTTTATTTCTTCTTTATCATTTATTATTATTATCATCCCTATTACTTTTTTTTTTACACCAGATCCCTTATCGGACATCTGCCAGCCATTTTGTTGCGATTTAATATTCTTTACAAATATTTTTTTAATTCCACCAATTACACTATTTTTCACTTTCAATTTTCATCACACAAACACAAAACAAAATCATCAATTGTCTCAAATTTTGTGTTTTGTCCCAAGCATACACTTAGAATTCATCAGCGTGGCGAAAAGTATTTAGCTTTTTTGTAAACTGAAAATACTCATATTGGTTTATTAAAATTTAGATGAAGGTAGTTATTATGAATCATGATAAAAAACTCGATCTGAATTTATCATCGGAATATTCAAATTTTGATTGACATCGAACAATTTCAAAATTACATATTGCTCTTGTACTCTGATGACAATAGAACTATCGAAGAACAATTTTCGTTGATAAATTTGGTATTCTCATCGCGTTTGTGACCAAATCCGTTCTATAGGGCGCCATACTGGATATATATGACTCCATTTCATGAATATCTATGCATCTACATGATGGTCAATGTGTGAACGTATTATGGTCATATTGCTGGTTTAGTTCTCTGGGTGGTCTTTATGTTCATTAATATATATATACAGTGACTGGATGTACGTGCGAACTGCCAATCATGTCATTTAGCCTCATTACAATCATATATAACCACTTTGTAGATGGTCATATTCATATTTATATATTCACGCTCATATGCAACGACAATGCTTCAATAATTGAAGATCGCATGCATTAATCATAAGATCAGTTATTAAGTGTCGCTTGATGTGTTGATATTATTAGTATTAAGGCTGGTGTTAGTGTTAGTGTTGATATTGTCAAGTACGTGAAGTATTATTTATATGAAACAACATTGGGTGGATGTTTGAGTGGGATTAGTCATCGATCAGAGACCGTTATGACACGAAAGTCGACTTGGTAGGTTTTTTTTATACCTGTATTACACATATTACATATGGAGTTAGATGTATTCGTTGGTAATCCTATTTGGTTAATGTATTTTACTTTTATGGTATAAGTTAGAGTCAATAAACATAAACCATTTTTTTTTGTCAGTAAAAAGTTTGCTTCAATTTTTTTACTGCTATTCTCACTAAATTTTGGATTTTTTTTATCCCATAATAAAATTGAGATGAAATGTATGTGGCATCAAACTATTCGTAACGTGATTGGTCGAATATATCATAAGCATGAAAATATATGCAAACTCTATAGTCAAGGCGCGCGCTTGCGCGCGTAAATTCAATTCTAGTAGTTGTTAAAATAGAAGTTTATGTGATGAACATATCTCTATTGAATTCTCCAATTTAATTTTATCGCTGTTCATTTTACAGTAATTGTTAATCTATCTTTTTTCCATAAATTTGACAAATTCTCATTCCTTTTCCTGAAAACAAATAAAATAATAATTAAGCAACTAAATACCAAAATATCAATCAATTCAACTAATTCCACCGTGGGATACTTCCCTCAAGCCTGATACAATAATAGACAGGTCAAAAGCATTCGGTCAATTAACGCCTTGCACTTATTGACGTTCCAAGACTCGAATATATACAACACATAATACATAAGATGTATATATATTATACATAAACCAATTGAATTAACATAGGAAATAATAAAACTCATCAGCTCAGGCAGAATCGACTCATGCATGTGTGCAAATAATGGCATACACATTATACGTTGTTTTTCGCCGGGTTCAACACATTGAACATTGAACTAGTGTAGAATAGAATCCAGCAGTAGTGAATGTACAAATATACACGCATGTAGATGAAGATGAGGCTCGGATGATGCCTCTGCTCTTGGTAAATTAATCATTTCAACGGCTGCTGTCGCATTAGGAAAGGCGGATAAGACAAATGAACGTTGTGGAGCTTGTTAAAAGACGTAATCCGAGAGATGTGTCTGCCACCTTCCGTCCTCCATCTCCTCATCTTCTCATCTCCTACTATAGCATCCCTTCGTCATCTTCATCTTGATCATCCTGGTCCTGATATATCTGGTGCTTCTATATCTCTTCCTTCTCTATCGTCATTTTCGCTAAACTCCGCTCACTCTGTCCTTCAGACTCGTCTTCATTTTGCTCATCCGACACCTTCAGTGTCTCTTATCTTACACTTTGCACACATACACAAACTTATACTAAGCCATAGTCTCTTTTCTTTATCTAACTGAACTCAATATTTCACTAGATCTATTCGTCGTTTTGGATCTTTGATTATATTCATCGCCATTTTTATTCCGTCCGTTATTTTGAGCGAAAGATGAATAGTAAATTTAAACATGTTTTAATACAGTTATAGTATTTATTTACTTGAATATTTAATAAAAGGTCTTAATTTAGTACCAATTCTTAGAAAAATGTTTAAATTTAAAATAATTTCTGAGGAGAATTAGTTATTAATTCTTTGCATGTTTTTAATTTTAATAATTTTTTTTTGAATTAAGAAATTTTACAAAGAAAGTAAAAATTTATTTAAATTATTTTTTAAAAAGTTATTACTTATAAACTTGCAAATTTTAGAAAAATCCATAAAGAAAACTTAAATAATTAATTCCAAGTTTACTAATTATTATTCTGTAAGGATTTAAGGGCAGAGGTTGGATAACCACCATTGCATTAGAACCCAGAGATATTGAGCAATGCGTAGAGAGCTTTTGAGAAATGGAATGAAAAACTAAAGCGAGGGATGAAAGAGAGGCTGAAAGCTAGGAAGGATAAAAGGGAGAAGGAGAGAAGAGATTTGTCTCACCATTTTGTCAGACCCTCGCAGAATCTCAGTGTTGTTGCTATGGAAACGTCGCTTTTGGATAAGGGGCACGCGTGTGTAACAGGGCGAGTGAAAAGTTCTATGTGAGTAAGAGTAATGTATATTTGTTGTATGTGTTGTAGTTGCCGACAGCAGCCATTGTTACCAAACGTAACTTTAGCATTCATACGCGGTATATATTAGTTGCGATTGTTATGTGCATTCATATATGTTTTAAACAAACTTTTTTGCGTTATGATTGTTTCGTTCTTTAGGTATGGCTGACTAATATTGAAGGTTAAAAGTTTCATCCGAAAAATTGATTGTAACTCAACCATTATTATTATTACTGCACGGTTTTCCCGATTGCTGGTCGTCTTGGCGAGAGCAATTGCCAATTTTATCAGAGCACTACAAGTTTTTATTTTTTTATATTCCTCTCTCTTTCCTAATTAATTAAAATTCCTAATGTACAAATAAATTTCGATAATTTGCATCAATTTACAGAGTGGTCGCTTTGGACTTGAAAGGGTTTGGTGACAGCGACAAACCGACCAGAAGGCGATCATACAGAATAGAAGTTTTAATTAACGAATTACGTCAATTTATCTCGACACTGGGAGTCGATAAATGCAGCATAATTGGGCACGATCTTGGCGGGCTGCTCGGCTGGTTTATGACGATACTTCATAGCGACATAATTGATAAATTTGTCGCTATATCTAGTCCACATCCGAATCTTTATTAGGATGAACTATGCAAGAATAATTCTTTTTACAGGTAATTTGTGAACTTTAATGACTATTTTTTTTACATTTCTTCATTATTGTAATATTTTATGAATCATTCCTCCAATTTTCTTTCTATAAAAATAAAAAAATTTATAGCTAATTTTTAATAATTTAATGCTAATTTTTTCGTATTAATACTTTCTTGTTATAGATGGATGTACTTAATAGAATAATTAAATATAAAATACGTAGTCATAATTATGTACAATAGTTTTTTTACAAAATGCATTTGGTAAATATTATTTCAAGTTATCATTCATTTTTTTAACAATCAATTTTTCTTTGATTTGGTAAATTCTACTTGTTTCAACAATTTTCTTGTGATAACTTTGTCAAAAATGAAAAATGAATTTCAAATTCTTCATAATTATGTTTTTGACGGAAGATTTCTTCTTTTTTATCGTTAATTTTTTATCAGTATACAATATAAAATTCATGATAATTTTTTTTCTTCCAATTATTACGCGAGTTTTCGACCTTAAATTTCAGTTTAAAAAGTATAAGATCAAGATTTGAGAAAGTGAATAGGCAGAGTATAGTAGTGGATAACTTTCGTAGACATGGATACACTTTGAATGAAATTCGAACCGAAAAAAACTTAGATATTCGGCGATATCGATGGAAATATAACTCTTGAGGTTGAAGAGAGTTTAGTGTGAAAAGTTTTCCTGCCTTAAGTTATGGAGTAGACTGTTATAAGCTTTTCAGATAATATATAATGTTATTCAGGGTTCTTCGTACTCTACACAGCATGGCATGTAGTAGAGAGAAGAGAGTAAAATAAGTGAGCGAGTGAATAAAAATAAATAAAAGAAATGAAACCCAGTGTGGGTATATTAAACCTCGACTATTTGCCACAAAGCTCTTTTCTACGATATGTATCAAATTATCGACATAATGGAAAATGGTGGCAACGGAACACCTACCAGGTGTCACATTATCACCCGAAGAATACCTTAGGTATATACTACACATATACATTCGGATTAACACAATATTCATTATTGTAATGTCTACACGGTGTAACACCATAATGGATACGTGACAATGGTATTAAGCGGTACAAAGCGTGTTGCTTTAATAGGTATCCAGTTGCATTTGTACATACATGCATTTTTTTGGCACTATATTATATATGTGCGAGGTTAGTATAAAGTATCCATGATATTTTCCGATATTACTTTAATTCTCCATGATATTATCTATCTTGACGCTTTTTTGGCTTAAAAAATTATTCTTCGCTAGTAAGACGGAAATTTTTTTAAGTAGAAAATCTTTAGACAAAGTTAGATATGTTTTTTTTGTTGGAAAATTATTTTACAATAATTTAAAGATTGAATTTTGAGTGGAATTTTTACAAAAAAAATTTAACTTGATTCAAGAGAAAATATTTTGAATTAAGAACTTTTTTTTAAGAGCTTGATTATTTTGAATTAAATAAAAAAATTTTAGAATCAAGCAAAATTTATTTAAACTAGTAATTTATTTAGTTCAAAATTTTTTATGATTTATAAAAAATGATCGAACTCTTCAAAATGATGTTCTAGGTTGAAAATTTTTTCTCTTTCTTCAAGTTTAATTTTTTATGAATATAAAAGTTGATAAGTCTTACTGATATTATTTTTTTTTAATTTTGAACAGCCAAGTGATATTTAAAAAGTCTTTAGTACGGATAACTTGAAAAATGCAACCGCGCACTTGATCCTACAACGAGTAAAGATTAAAGTAGAGAGTGAAAAAAGAAAATTAAATAATAATAAAATAAATGAAAGGATAAAAAAAGGAAGAAAAGAAAAAAAAAGAAGAGAGGTAGAGGTATAAGAAATATTCGTTAAAAGCAAGTGTTGATTGTAAAATCGAAGGTTTCTGCAACTCGAAGAAGCATATTGAGTCGCGAATCAAAATGCAGCCAGCTCCATTGAAGTGATGAGAGTACTCTTGAAGCCTTCGAGGAGTTCTTGACTACTACAGCAGTCGAGAGCCCCAGTGCTCGACGAATCATTCACTAATTGCGTTCGTGACATGCTCCAAAACTGTCGGCCGGCTTTTGCTTTTTTTGCTGCTAGATAAATTGTATATACAACGTTTTTACCATTTTTTTAACTACCGAATCAATTGGGTCAGAAAATTTTAAAATTATAATTTTGCAAATGTTAAATTTGTTTTAATTTTCGATTATTTGATTGATTTAAGGTATAATATTATATATATAATGTTTGGGAAATGAAATATATTTGAATATTGGCTGTTGACTTTTTCGGTGAGTAGCGAGTAAATTTCTACGCCTCCTCGCGGTCGATAGACACTCTCGATTATTTCCCGTTATCCTAATGGCAGGTAATCACACGATCCTTGTTGAGGACCTCATTATTAATCGTCGAGTCCTTATTGGCAATTCAATCCCAAGAGTTTCATTCTCAAGCATTTTCATCGACGGCTGACAGATTCGAGGATGTCATTTCATTTGAATTATTGTCGACCTACTATTATATATACGTTTTATTATCATTATTGTTGTTATCATTTCTCATCACAATAATCAATAATTTTTTATCTGGTCAAAATTATTACATAATGTTTACTTGATATTTTTTATTATTTTTAGCGAATGATCAGTAAATGCGTTATTATATTCAGAACAAAAAATTCAGATTGAAAATTTACGAACTGAATTATTAGTAATAGAGAAATTTTGAAATTTTTGCATTTTCATTTTTTGTAATGAAAAAAGTATTTATAAAAAAATCCAATCATACATCAAAGTTATGAAAAAATTAATTAATTGAGATTGTGGATAGAATTTTCTGCTAAAAATTAATGTTGCTTTTTTCATCATTTAAATATAAGCTTACGTAATATAATTTTTTATTTTTCATGGAAATATTCACACACGATGTTTATTTCCCTACTTTGTAATGTTTAACTTCAATTTGATATAATTATAAATATATTCAAATTTTAATCTTGTTTTGTAATATCCAGTTTGAAAGAATTCAAGAAATTTACAAATTGAATGATAATTAATCAAATTTGTACTCGAAATTGTGGAAAATTATACAAGAAATTAATCAAATTTATGACTAATTTTTATTAAATTATTTATTGATATCTCTTCAAGTGAATTAAGTTTTTTAATATGAATAAAATAAAACCAAGATTGCCCATCATATATATATATATATATATATATATATATCAATTTAAAAAACACAATTGAATATAACAAGGTAACGAAATATTTTCTAAATATTAAGACCCATAATTATCATGAATTATGATTATAATAGTACTGGTACTAGTAATAAGTAAAATGGAATGGATGGCCGTAAAAAATGTTGGAATTTCAGTAGATAATTATCTATGAGTTTTTTCGGCGCCAAGTAACCGACACTTTGCTACCGTCCAAAATGAATATACGTTCCGGTGTGTATATTATTAAAATTAACACGGATAAAAAAATATGTATGGTGAACTATCGACGCAAAACCCGTAAAGTCATGCTTGTTAACGAGAATCATTTCGTTTACACACATAACACAAACTTCGATACTCGAGAGCTATATGAGGCTCATTCTCATGGCTATATTAGGATTAGTATACACAGTAAAAAATTTTGCGTCATTGCGTCAAAAAATTTTGTGTTAAATATTTAACACTTTTTTGTGTTAATTTAACACTTTTCTGTGTTAATTTAACACAATAAATGTTAAATTTACACATAAGAGTGTTAAATATTTAACACAAAATTTTTTGACGCAACGACGTAAAATTTTTTACTGTGTATATTTAGTTAGAATTTATCAAATTGACGGTTTTTTTTTATCACACCAAATTATTTATGAGCAAGCTTAAGTTAATACTCGAACTATTTATGTTTTATATATTGAAAGTAAATCAAATCTATTTTTTTTTTGGAAAAGATCAGTTTTATTTAGACCCAAAATACATATCAAAATTCTAATTAGCAAATTGTCTAATTTAAGATTACTAGAATTTAATTTTCGTGCGCAAGCGCGCGCGTCATATTTATTGTCATGATATATTTATGTGTCGTTTATGTATAGTATATTCACTTTCAACCTATCAGAATGAGAATATTTATTTTCGACCAATCACGTTACGAATAGTTTGATGCCACATACATTTCATCTCAATTTTATTATGGGATTGAGCAGGTGGTTTTTTGACATGTTTAGATAGCAATAGTCATCTGAAAAAATATTAATTGAGTAACAAAAACAATTATATTAAACATTAATAGATATTAAAATGACATATCGATAAAAAATTTTTAAATTTACTTTTTTTACATTACTGGAGTATTTTATGAAATTAAGTTAGACAATTTGCTGATTAGAAATTTGATATATTTTTTAACAAGTTCAAAAATTATTAAAAAAAATTCGATAATATAATTTAACTTAGTAGTATAACTATTTATCATATTGACTAGCTAGACTATAAGTGAATCCAAAAAAATTTTTTTACTTGATTCAAGAGAAAAATTTTTGAGCCAAGGAAATCATTTTGAAAAGCTTCATCGTCTTGATTTAAGTGGATAAATTCATGAACTGAGAAATTTCTCTTAGCTTAAGTATATTTTACTTGTTTCAAAAATTTTTCGTTTTAAATGATTAATTTTTTACAGAATAGAAGTACCGTTTGTGGCCATTTATTGTTCAAATAAACGATAGAAATGAATTTATATTAATAAACCATCACAAACTCAATTTGTTTGAATATAAATTTTTTAAAACTCAACAAAAATATGGTTATAATATTATAATTTTTTATAAATTAATTCAAATATTAAGTGGCCAGAAACGGTGCTAAGGTGGCCAAAAACGGTACTTCTACCCTATATCTCGCTGAATACCTTGATTTAGATATTGCATATTTTTGATCTGTCAGTATTGATGATTTACAATAGTCACTTTTAATATATGGAATTAGATAATTAACTTATTTAAATAAAAGAAACTAAGGTGTGAAAAATTACATCTAACAGTTTTAGTCACTTATGCTCAAATGTGAGTGTGGGCGTTTTCAAAATAGATGTCGTTTTTTTTTTTTATTGTGGCATGGAAAGTATTCTTTTTTTACGTTTATTTCATGGTTTTTTTTTTAGGTAAATTTTAAATGAAAGACTGTTTGAAATTTGAAGTATTAAAAATATTTGTGATAGTGAAAAAAAGTCGAGAGTTTCATTGAAATCAAAGATAACTATAGACTCCAGTAATAATGTGTTAGCAGCAGATGAAAATTTAAAAATAAAGAAAAAAGTTGATCGCAATTTGCTCGCTGGAAGCATGCAAGCATGTTTGGCTATTGTCGTCAGTTTTTATGAAAACAGAAAACAGTCGCTGATTAAGAGATACATAGATCGAAGGCGAAATGGATTTGAATGATGAGTATTGATTAGTTTCCGTTTTTTAAATTATCTATTGTTGCTTCACTCTTTTTTTTTCGGCATTGTAAAGTAGGACATTTCCGAGTTTAATCATTTTTAACTTGAATTTTGATTATTTTTAATTTTCACTGTTCAGTTTTCCGTTACCAATTTCTGGCGGAAATAGTATTGACTAGTAGAGCGTGAATGGAATTAAATAAAACAGTCTGAAAACGAAATAAATAGATTCTAGTACGAGTGTTTCGATTGACTCCGCCATATTGAGTTTAGTTCTATGGAATAGACTCTTGAAGCATTAGGTATGGGGTGTGTTACCAACCAAGACCATTTATAGCATGTCCGCTCTCAATTCTCAATTTAGAGTCGGGAATTCT